TACCCCAATTCACTAACTACAGGTATTTATATTGTAAAGTTTAAATATTGTAAATCTAATCTACCCCACGTCACTAATTACAGTTATTTATATTGTAAAGTTTGAATATTGTAAATCTAATCTATCCATCATCACTAACTACAGGTATTTATATTGTAAAGTTTAAATATTGTAAATCTAATCTATCCATCATCACTAACTACAGGTATTTATATTGTAAAGTTTAAATATTATAAATCTAATCTATGCAACATCACTAACTACATGTATTTATATTGTAAAGTTTAAATATTGTAAATCTAATCTACCCTACATCACTAGCTACAGGTATTTATATTGTAAAGTTCAAATATTGTAAATCTAATCTACCCAGCTTTAATAACTACTCCTTTTTATATTGTTAAGTTTGAATATTGTAAATCTAATCTACGCTACTTCACTAACAACAGTTATTTATATTGTAAAGTGTAAATATTATAAATCGAATCTATCCAACAGTTATTTATATTGTAAATCTTATCTACCCCACTTCATTAACTACAGTTATTTATATTGTAAATCTTATAATATTGTAAATCTAATTTACCACACTTCTCTAACAACATTGGTTCATATGTCAAGTTTAAATATTATAAATCTAATCTACCTAGCTTCATTAACTACAGTTATTTATATTGTAAAGTTCAAATCTTGTAAATCTATCCAACATCACTAACAACAGGTATTTATATTGTAAAATTTAAATATTGTAAATCTATCCAACATCACTAACAACAGTTATTTATATTGTAAAATTTAAATATTGTAAATCTAATCTACTTCACTCCATTAACAACAGTTACTTATATTGTAAAATTTATATATCGCAAATCTAATCTGTCCAACTTTGTTTTTGCGCTTATTTAAGTGTACTTTACAACATACCAAACGTTTAACAAATTTTGCGCACCGGACAGCGGTACAAATTGGTAAAATCCAAGATGGCCGACACTCGCCAAATCAATATGCAAGAAAACGCTAAACGGTTGCTATAAGACCCTATATGTATATCAAAATGTCAAATGAGCCCATTACAAGTAGTATGACGTCATATAGTCAAATAATGACATAATAAGACGACTGGCACATCTATATACTAAACACATTTACGCTATTAGCCCTATTCCTACAGTTGGATCTCGGTTTTTCATCGCAACCGAACGACTGGCAAGGGTAAACCAGGCGGTATAATCTTCCTCATAATCTTTGCGTGGCATTAACAACAGAACATGTTTTTTATTTGAAACCGTCACTAGTTTTATTCTAAAAGCTCGACGTTTCGACAAGTATCCTCTTATCGTTATCAAGCACAGTGACATTTAGTAAATTTGGGGTCAATATATATGAAAGTAAATTATAAAACATATTACAGAGAATAACAAAACAGTAACAATAGGAATTTAAAAAAACAAAACAACAACCTTGTGGCACAATGTCACTGTCTCGGTCAGCACTAGCCTCGAACCCAAGACCTATTGATTGATTAGCCAATGATACATTCACGAGTATCAAATGAGTTATATAAGACGCTGGCTCGCTAGCCTGGAGGTCACGTGTTCAATCCCTGCATTTGCCGAGAAAGTCCATCGGGATTTTCCGGCGTGGTTCCCCCTTGTCAGTGATGCAGGACGAAGGGCCTGACAAGCACAGCTGTCTAGTCCTTCGGATGAGACGAAAAACCGAGGTCTTGTGTACATATTGGAATGCACGTAAAAGATCCCTTGGCAGTTGGAATTGGATATAAGAGTAGGCGATAGTGCCGCTGCCCGGGCAAAATTTCCCACATAGCACACTGTATGGTGTATGCCCGTCTTCATTAGCCCAGCATAGGAGCAAAACAGTAGGACGTTAAACCCCATTTCATTTCAGTTCATTTCATTTATATGAGTTATAGGCAGTGTTAGAATTTTTATACGCCCACATTTTTATGTTGACGTATTATGCCGTCGCCTCTGTCCGTCCGTCCGTCCACAATTGTTTGTGGACTCTCTACAGGTCACAATTCTTATCCGATTTTGACGAAACTTGAAATATAGGTTTATCCCCAAACGATCTCGGCTGCTTTCAATATTGGCATGTATCGGATTGAAAATTCATGGATTATGGCCCCTGATTTTACGAAAAATCACGTTTTTAGCTGGTGGACCCTATAGAGGTCACAATTTTTATCCGATCTTGTTAAAACTTTACATGTAAATTTATAACCCAAAGATCTCGGTTTCTTTCGATATTTGCGCATATCGGACCGTAACCTACTGAATTATGGCCCCTGATTGTACGAAAAATCGCGTTTTTAGCTTGTTCTCTATCCATCTCTCGAAACTGTGGGCGTATCCTGCCTGGCAGCCGCTGGTTGCTCTTTTAGTTAGTAGCATTATATTAATTACTATTTTCTAATATGCACTTAAATCAAACCGAGTGAATGCGTGACAAATTGTTATATAAATATTAATTATTTAAAATAATTGGTTGCAGTGTCAGAATACATTGATATAAACACATTCACAAGAGCTTTAAATTAAACCTTCGCTCGAACTGTAAGCCAATGATGATCAAATTTTTGTGTTCTAGTTATTAGACCTGCAGCATTATTTTGCTCTATTTGTAGACTATTTTGATTTGGGGAACTGTGGACACAAATTCATTGGTCACATAGTCATGATCCTTGGCCCCCTGGGGAATCACGTGGCTAAGTGGGTAAGACGCTGGCTCGCTAGCCTGGAGGTCGGGTGTTCGATCCCTGCATTACCAGATTTTCCGGTGTGGTTTACCCCTTGTCAGTGATGCAGGACCTGACAAGGACAGCTGTCTAGTCGTTCGGATGGGACGAAAAACCGAGGTCCCGTGTACACATTGGCGTGCACGTAAAAGATCCCTTGGTAGTTGGAATTCGATATAAGAGTAGGCCGTAGCGCCGCTGCCCGGGAAAAATTTCCCTCATAGCACACTGTATGGCGTATGCCCGTCTTCATTAGCCCAGGTCAACTCCATTTCTTTTTATTTCATTTCATTTCCTTAGCCCGCTTCTTTGGTGATATAGGGCAATCAGCTATCTGAATGGTATCCGCTTTAAATAATCTACTGGGTTGTGGTTTTAATGGTGTGACCAGAAATTCGGATTTGTCATTGTTATGTTTTAGCCTATTTCTGGTCATCCATCCTCAAATGTCTTTAAGACAAGCCTCTAGCCTACTACGAAAAACCTTGGAAGCAAAATAGTTGTACTGAAAGTAGTCATATATTTGGGTGTCGTCACCAAATTACCAGAGACTTACCAATTCATCCAAATTTCAAGACTTAAAAGGTTCACCAAACGACGTAAGAATATTAACTTCTTCAGTGTCCCTGGGCAACCTGTTCAGTTGATCCCTGAGCAATCTGTTTTGTACATCCGTGAGAGAGAGATGGGGGGGGGGGGGTGAGGGTTAGCGTCCACTAGACACGGAGGTATGCCGTGTAATTAATAAGAGAGAGAGAGAAATGGGGTTTAACGTCCACTCGACACAAACTAGGTCATTTCGGGACTAACATATGGTTTCATTTTATTTCAATAATTCGCTTGCGCATAGGGGTCTTTAGCAGTGGGAGGAAACCGGAGGACCCAGAGAAAACCCACGAGGTTGGACAGGCGACCCTACTCCTTGTCACGTAAAACCGGGGATTCGAAACCACGCCAGTCGACTCAATGACAGACTTTATGATACAGCGCGCACACGCTAACCATTCAGCCATCCAACCCCCCGTGTAATTAATAAACACGAATACACTGTTATGTGATCGTAAAGTAGGAGAAAGACAGAGAAAATGGAGTTTAACGTCTACTCGACAGAAACCAAGTCATTTCGGGACTAACATATGGTTCAATTTTACTTTAATGTTTCGCATGCTTGTAGGGGTCTGTAGCAGTGGGAGGAAACCACTCGACTTGACTCAATGACAGACCTTGTGATTTAACGCGCATGCTTTAAAAAATTCGGCAACTCAAACTCACCTCGCAGCAGATGATTAACTTAGAGGTCAAGGACGCAAACTGTCGTAATTTAGTCCATCTGGGGAACAGACCACACAGTCCACCGAGAATCCTACTATTCAGTAGGCTAGTATCCGTTTATATTGCAGATTTCTCCTTGCGCATATTTGAAATTGAACGCGGGCGTCATTTGGAAACTAAAAACATATCCATGTTACTATAAAAATAAAGGATATAGACTACATGGAGTGGGTTCAACTTGAGCAATATGGGAAGTCTACACAGCGCCAAAGAAGGAATTCATATTTAATGTAAAGAGGTGTACTCAAATCAATCTTACATCACCCCCACAATACACACCACACCGGACACACATTGTTAGGAACGGTGAAAAAGTGGACAAGGCGTTCGCTCGATAATCAGGATTGCCCCGGCTTTGCCAGAGAAAGTTGCTTGGGGTTTGTTATCTTGGCTGTCCCTCGTCAGTGGGATGGATATTCGGAGTCCCATTTATATCCTTTGAATCATGTTAAAGAGACCCTGATAGTTGGAATAATAAATTATAATAAGCCGTAGCACCGTTATCAGGGTAGAGTTTCCCTCGTGGCACACTGCATGACATGTGTCGGTTTTCATTAGTTCACAACAGTAGTAAGACGTTGAACCCCATTTCCTCGGCACCGACGGCACTAGTTTGCGGAATCTAAGATTACATTGACTTGAACTATATCAATAAAGGAAATAACCTTCGTGTTCTGGTGGAATTGATTTGGTGGAACTTTTTATTGGGCATACTGAAGGGTCTGAGCTTATGGTATTGACATTTCTATAACGCAGTTGACTTATGTATCGGTGGGCATAATCTTTGTGTACATGGAATGTTATTGTCGTTTATGAACACATGTCTTCAAGGAACCCAAGCGACATGGCTGTTCAAATGGCCATGGTGTTTTAAATATAAATAAAATAAAATAAAATAGACAAAACAAAATCAAGCAAAACATTTACTCTTTTCATGAGGAACGATGTTTCAGTATTAAGCATTTAAAATACACTACACACGTATATATCATAAAGAGTTCAACTATATAATTATTCATTTCACAGTGTCTCCCGTTGCAGCTGGTGATGCCACAGCTGTATTCCGTGATGCATATAAGCTAGGAGTTTCTAGCAGCATTTGGGAGTCATCATATCACTATTTTAAAGAAATACATAATTATCCATTATACCGTGGTTCTAGCAGCATTTGATGATCTTACAGCTGTATTCGGTGATGCATAAGCAGCTAGGTAAGCCATATAGGGATTTACTGGGACAGCAGCATACGAAGTGTACAATGGCTGACCTGCTGTCACTGCTGAGGATACTTGTTGATTTCCTACGGCATTTGTCACAGCTGCAGCGTTATTAACACTGTTAAGTTGTTGGTTGACAGCATTAACTTGTTGGTTGACAGCATTAACTTGCTGATTAGCAGCATTAACTTGTTGATTAGCAGCAATAACTTGTTGATTAGCACCATTTAATTGTTGATTAGGAGCATTAGCACCATTTACCTGTTGATTAGCAGCAATAACTTGTTGATTAGCAGCATTAACTTGTTGGTTTGCAGCATTAGCAGCATTTACCTGTTGGTTTGCAGCATTAGTAGCACCTGCGACATTAGCTTGGTTTGCTGCTGTAACTGCTGCGACGTAATTAGCAAGGGCAGCATTAGCTAAGTATTGCCCTGGATTGGCAGCTGCGTTATTGTATACATAAGTCGTTCCGGCTGGTGCTTGCTGGTTTGCGGAAGCTACAACGTTTGCTTGAACCTGTTGCATATTGGCTGCGGTGTTCACATTAGCGTTAACAGCAGTGGCTTGTTGGGCATTTGAAGCTGCCGCTGCATTGTTCCTATTCTTTTGCTGTTTCCCACCACCTGCGTTGTTGGCTTGTGCATTAACGGCTGCTGCGTTCGCTGTCGTTTGCGCAGCTGCGTTACCCGCTGTAGCATAATTCAGATAAGCAAAGTTTGCTTGAGGTTGAGCTTGGTTGACATTAGATAAATATTGCTGGGCATTGGCGGCCTGGGGAGCTTGGTTGGTTGCCATAGAGTTGTACGAAGTATACAAGTTGGCTGGATTTCCTACGGTTGTGGCATATTGAGCTGCATTAACGTTCGTGGGATACTGCGCGGTGTTAACAAATGCTGCCTGTGCCTGTTGGGCTGCAGGGTTAGCTGCATAAGGATAGACAGCCTGTCGTCTTTCTCTGCGACGAATATCTATTGAATTAGAGAATACCGTACTGATAAGTACCATACACACAGTAACCTATAATAAATAAAAAAACAAATACTATTTGTATAAATTATGACAACTCTAGGTCTTTCTAGCATTATCTCTTAATTTGAATCATTATATGATCGAGCTGTATTCATATATCAACCTGTCAGAGACGTGCAATTCCGATATCGGTCTTTTGTGCAGTGGGTATTCTGTCATGGTTTATCCGGCATATTTTAACGATCCCGTACAATATCGGAAGCGATAGGATTCCACTGTAGTACAAATTATTGTCATGTTTCGGAAAATACCAAATTGTCCATGACCTAATCCACACTAATATGTACTTTAATTAATCAACATTTAGTTATTAAAATAAATTCAAAATCGCTAGATAATATCCCGGTTCGGATTCAATCAAATTTAAACAGACACATCATAGGATTTCACCAAACATAAAGATGGCTTGGTACCATTTACATATTGAATACCATAGATCGACTAATTTTAGTTCATCATATCTTTGTAAACATTTACAACATTGTAAGGATTCCTAGTTTAATACGGTAGTTTACAGAGGATTCCTAGTTTAATATTGTAACGCCCATCAACTTAGGCTTTCCTCATTCTCTTGCATAAAATACTTAATCGTTTTTTTGGGCCGTCGTGGGAGCCGCTTTGGATTAGTGAGTTAGGGGTTGGCTCGTTAACTTTGAGATCCCGATGTTGGGAGGGAAAGCTCCTAGGGATTTTCCGGCGTAACAATGTCTAGTGTACACTTTCGTGTGCAAGTAAAAGAACCATTTCCCTCATACAATATGGGGGTGGGGGTGGATGACCGAATGGTTAGCACGTGCGCGCTGTATCAAACGGTCTGTCATTGAGTCAACATGCGGGGTTTCGATTCCCCGGTTCTACGTGACAAGGACTAGGGCCGCCTGTCCAACCCCGTGGGTTTTCTCCCGGTTCTCCGGTTTCCTCCCACTGTTAAAGACCCCTACGCGCAAATGAATTATTGAAATAAAAAAATGAGTCATGTGTTAGTCCCGAAATGACCTAGTTTGTGTCGAGTGGACGTTAAACACGCCCTCTCTCTCCCTCTCTCTCTCTCTCTCGCTCTCGATGGAGCAGAAGTGTAGGCCGTTAAATCTGTTACATTTCAAATTTTGGGGTCGCTGTTACTAGTCATATTCTTTGGCGTAAACCGGTGTCGTGCGCCATTGCCATTATACATACACATGTATACGTATACACAACAAGCCGGCCATATTATATCCAACACAGTGCTTAAAATCATAAACCACTGGATTTAAATTGAAAGATGTATGTATGTAAGATTTAGATAAAGAGCTGACCGTTCTTGCTATAATAATTCCAAAATAGATAATGAAAAATGAATATATTGAAAATTTCAGTCAATTGCCATTGGAACCATAATAAAAAAAAATTTCTCAATTATCCATTTTTAAATTAAATTATTAAATCGCGATCGTGTGTCAATCCATTGACAATCGTGACCATCCGATGATCCAGAGAGCTGACCATAGGCTTGCCATGTGCAATTATATCTAATTAATAATGTATATAACATTTGAAGCCAAAATAAAGACCTACAAAATTTAGCGCCTACATAATGTATGTTTAGTATACTATGATGTCCTACCTGAAAATTCCTCATAATTACACCTGTAGAAGTCGAATCTGCTACTGGGTCAAACGATTAACACAAAATATGTCGTTTTGTTACACCAGCATTTTAATTTATACTATTTCATTAACAAACGATATTTGTACAATGTTCAAATTTAGAACAATGTATGATAATAAGTAATATAGACGGTCACGTTATTTTATAATTTGTGTATAATTGATATAATTAAAGCGTGGAGTTCTGTCACATTTAATAATATATATATTTAATATACAAACGTATGTTTATTTACACGAGTAATTGTATAAATTGTATTCTATTGTAACCCAGTAATATAATTTATCTGCCCGTGCACGAATTCATTGATATTTAGAAGCGAGCCTTTAAATAAAATACTGGAACGTGTGTTTATTTACACGACTATATATCTAATTGTATCCATTATACTTTATTATAATACAGAATAAAAATTACAAATTACCTGAACGTGCATGAATTCATTGTTTTTTTGGAGAAGCGAGCTATAAATGAACAACTGGAACGTGTTTTTATTTACATGATTATATATTTAATTACGGTCATTGTACCTTATTATAAAACAGGATAAAAATACACATTACTTACGCGTGCAGGAGATGTGAAACTTTAGACCAGGGGTGGATAAAGTTTGGCACACGCGCTAACCTTGGCCCATTGGATGATTAGTAATGATATGAAATGAAATGAGGTTTATAGTCCTACTGCTCTGCTCCGACTGGGATAATGTAGATGGGCATACGCCATACAGTGTGCTATGAGGGAATTTTGCCCGGGCAGCGGCGTTGCGGCCTACCCTTAAATCGAATTCCGGCAGCCAAGGGATTTCTAAAGGGCACACCAAGATGTACACGGGACCTCGGTTTTTCGTACCACTATACATTGTCTATTGCCAGACCCTCTTTCCTACGTCACTAATCGACAAGGAACACGGGACCTCCAGGTTAGCGAAACAATTTCTTATTCACTGATTCACTTGGGGTGATTTGAAGTGACGCAGGCGCATTGCATCCCAGTAATAATAATAAACAATGGCGACAAGGTGTCTCATTATTTTTATCGATTTTATTATTTCATGAACATTCTTTTTAAACGAATGTCGTCTATCAAATTATACTAATCTGTTTTCAGTTAAAGAAATGCTCAATGAATCCAACAAGGAAAGAATGCGTGTTGGTTTTGTTTAGGCTAACATTGAAACACGGGCGAAATAAAAACATCAATGTGTATGATCTGCTTTATCAGATATTGCTTTTTATTTAATAATTATTTTATCCGGTAAAGATGCTAATAGTGTCTTAACATATATTTTTATTCGTACAGAAATTAAATGGAAGTCAATAGTTGTGTGGTGCATCTGAATTCGTCTGTAAAATAAATTGGCGCATGTAAAAGATTGGCAACCCTGGGTCTGTGAGAGAGAAGAGACTGCAGCTCTCCCGGAGTCTAGATAATGCCCGAAACCTTGTAATGTTTAAACAATTGTTGGTATAGATTAATAAACACAAATACACTGTTGTGTGATCGTAAAGCAGGAGAGAGAGAGAAATGGGGTTTAACGTCCACTCCACACAAACTAGGTCATTTCGGGACCAACATATGGGATAATTTTATTTCAGTAATTCGTTTGCGCGTAGGGGTCTTTAGCAGTGGGAGGAAACCGGAGGACCCGGAGAAAACCTACGAGGTTGGACAGGCGACGCTACTCCTTGTCACATACGACCGGGGAGGGGGTTTAACGTCCACTCGACACAAACTAGGTCATTTCGGGATCAACATATGGTATAATTTTATTTCAGTAATTCGTTTGCGCGTAGGGGTCTTTAGCAGTGGGATTAAAATCGTATCTGCCAGTCCACTTTTTGGGGAAGAATTGGTGAATTATAATTTCCTGTGAAAATCGTGTACATCTAATTATTGTTATAACTCAGTAAATCTAATACGTAGTACATGTATTTGGAATGTTATGCCAAAAGGTAGCTAGATACCATGTATTTTTTAAAACGTTTTGTGTCCGGATGGAGAGAACCTCGCCCTGTCCGCCTGACCACCGCTCAACGATGTGATTGTCCTGTGGTCCTCTTGGTCCTGTCGCGTGCTCTGTGGTGGCGCTTGGTTTAGACGAAATGTTAATGTATTCATCGCACATTAACTGCGATAACACACACGGTGGAAGCGGACGTTAATCGAATCAGACAAACAAAACATTAATTGTAAAGTTATGCAAACCGCAAACAAAGGAGAGTTATTTAGTACAAGGAAGAGAAAATAATAATGGTTGCAAAGTGTGAAATTTTTAATAATGTATAACCATTGTTTGTTGACATGGTGAACGTGAACTCATGAGTATGTATTATATACTATCAGTATTCACGTCACGAAGCAGACATGTTGAATAATGCACTAAAACAATAAGAAGTCTTGTAACTTTCATTGCAAGTATGTTACCGCTTTTTTTCAGCGGATATTAGTATGGTATTTTTAAACCACAGTTTATATAAAAGGTTGCGTGGTTAATATCCCACTGTTATTAACCAGTGGGCAGATATCATTGTTTATTTCATAATGCAGATTTCTATTGTAAGTTATTTGTACGTTTTCTTATGAATTTTACTAATATAACTTTTTAACACAGTATTCAGTATAATTTAATAGGACATTATTCAATATGAATGAATGAATAAAATGTTTCTGAATTTTATTAATACTAACATATAACGACTTGTTAACACCGTATTCGGTATAACTTAATTATGTAAACTCTTTAACCATTCATTCCATACGCCTATAACTTAACACAATATTCTATATAACTATATATATACTATTCTCTATATATATAGAGTTTTTAACGACGTACTGAAAATAAACAAACAAAATCTCAACTGTAGTCAATAAATGAAATGAAATGAAATGGGGTTTAACGTCCTACTGTTCTGCTCCTATACTGGGCTAATGAAGACGGGCATACGCCATACAGTGTGCTATGAGGGAAATTTTGCCCGGGCAGCGGCACTATCGCCTACTCTTATATCGAATTCCAACTGCCAAGGGATCTTTTACGTGCATTCCAATGTTTTACATGGGACCTCGGTTTTTCGTATCATCCGAAGGACTAGACAGCTGTCCTTGTCAGGCCCTCCGTCCTGCATCACTGACAAGGGGAAACCACGTCGGAAAATCGGGATGAACTTTCTCGGCGAATGCAGGGATCGAACACCCGACCTCCAGGCTAGCGAGCCAGCGCCTTACCCACCTAGCCACCGTGGCTCCCTGTAGTCAATAAGCTTATATCTTTAAATATAAACTTTATAACGACTTATTGAACAAAAACTTTTTAACACCTTATTCAAAATAAACTGTATTTAATATAACTAATATCTAAAAACTGTATTCATTATAACTAATATCTAGAAACGGTATTCAATATAACTAATATCTAGTAACATCATTCAATATAACTTCATTCAACATAACTAATATCTAGAAACTGTATTCAATATAACTAATATCTATTGAAACTGTATTCAATATAACTAATATCTAGAAACATCATTCAATATAACTTCATTCAATATAACTAATATCTAGAAACTGTATTCAATATTATTAATATCTAGGAACTTCATTCAATATAATTAATATCTATAGAAACTGTATTTAATATAACTAATATGTAGAGACAATTTAACGACTTATATTTTTAAACAATATCCAAGATATCTGACTGAGATTGAGTAACAGGCCAACAACTTATTCCATATCAGAGGGGTGGGGGGCAATGTATCATAAGGTCTGTCATTGAGTCAACTGGCGTGGTTTCGATTCCCCGATCGTATGTGACAAGGAGTAGCGTCGCCTGTCCAACCTCGTAGGTTTTCTCCGGATCCTCCGGTTTCCTCCCACTGCTAAAGACCCCTACGCGCAAGCGAATTATTGAAATAAAATTGAACCATATGTTAGTCCCGAAATGACCTATTTTGTGTCGAGCGGACGTTAAACCCTCTCTCCCTCTCTCTCTCTCTCTCTCTCTCTCTCTCTACATCACTGGCGTGCCTGAACAATATTTTCAATAAAACTAAAGTATATGGATATTATTTAGAAAATTCTTTTGAAATGGGTTCCGAATGCAACATTGTGTAGCCAAAATTTTCTCTACAGAAAGTTGAACTCGACACGGCGAATGTGCACGTTTCAGTGGCATGTCTAGAAGTGATTTCTAGCCAATCGCTCAGTGCAATAACACTCAGCATAAGAGTCTATGAGTCTATAAATAGTCATCGCACTTGAAATTCTCTACACCTCTATCAACTATTACAGTCGTAAATAATCTATTGTTGACGATTCTGAATAGCAGTAATATTTATTTTTTTGGTTATTACAGTGGTTTTAGAAAATTACGTTCGTTTTATTTTTTAAATTGCTTTAGAAGCGGCATATTTTGGATTAGTACAAATAATATCTGTGAAACACTTGGGTTAAGCACGAACATGATACTAACAGTAGTTTCATTTTACTTTTACAAGGTTCTTAAAACAATTGCCTAACGTGCGAGTTTCTAAACTCAATTTCTCGTTCCAGATTTGTTATTTTTCATAATAAAAGTAGTCTTGCCTATCCCGGTCTGTCAATCAGACGGAGAATGGTCGGTAGACTGGTTAAGCGAGACTAATTTCAAAACAAGGGCACGTAATCTATTTTTTAATTAAAAGTGTCCGGATGTTATGCCCGACACTCGTAACCATTTTTCAGTCAAATATTTATGGATGGTTAAATGTTCATAGCTTATAAAGCACAACATGGCCGTTTATTTAGTGACTATAAATGTGCGAAACTGATTTAAGGCTTGGTATATATATATAAATATTGTGGTGAAGTTATCGAGATATTTGAAGATATTTATTTATGGTGGGGCACCCTACACTGGAAACAATAGTATCGATATGGGTTGTCAATGTAACAGTAACACTGGGTACAAAAGTATCAATATGGAAAGAATGACAGCAATGTTAAAGATCGGAAGGAGAAAATTAGTGACACACATAAATATTTGTTTAAGTCACCATACTGCCAATCTGTTCTATCTGTAGAAGTGTTGCGTATATAAATTTTACAGTATAGTTCCAGCAATTAATATCCTAAAATTGATCATAACGACTTATAACACGTGTTCTGTTGCTTTGTATCCATCCCAGTGACGTGGATACAGTTGTGTCTACCTGCCCCCCCCCCCCCACACACACGCCACCTCCCACCCACAACAAAACAACAAAACAAAAACTTATATTACTAATCGAGGAACAATAAAATTGTATGAAGCGCCTTGTATCCTTCTATTCTCCCGGTCAAAATACATCATTATGGTAGTTCATCACATGGTGGAGTTAGTCTTACTTCTCGGCAGGGATTTTTTGTCCAGACAGCGAGTGACATTACGGCGTACTCCTATATCGATTTAACTGTCAATGTGTATACGGTACGGGACCTCGGTTTATCGTCCCAACCGAACGACTATAACTTGTCTATTGCCAGGCCCTCAGTCCTGCACCACTGACAAGGAGGTACCACGCCTGAAAATCCTGATGAACTTTCTCGGCCAAAACAGGGATCTAACACGTGACCTCCAGGTTAGCGAACCAACGTCTTACTCACTGAGCCACCTCGGCTCCGGCGATGTTAGTCATAAATATATAGATGTATCATCATGTATTTTTACTTTTGACAGGTGTGTGTCTGTATGGCACTGCTGCTGGTGGTGGTGGTGACACAGGCAAGGATACCAGATCATGGACTCCACCGTACACCCGTGAAGAGACACAATGTGCATCGCCGAGCAGCTGTAGATGCAGGTTTATCCAACGATGCAGGAACACCAGTTGGTGTCGATCAACAGCTTGCAAGTAACCTAGCTTCTCGTGGATATAGAAGCCAACATCAAGCGTATACTGGGTATGCAGGTGCCGCCGCGTCCAACCCTAGAGTTGTCGGCACAAGGAGTAATAAATAAATGACCTAAATTATTTTATCCTCCTGCTGTCACCAGCAATAACACGTACAGTTAAATCTGAATATAAAATGTCGGTGATACCGGTTGCAGTATTGCTTATAAAAAAATACAACAACATTTTACCAATTGTAATTGTTCATATTTTAATTGATTCAATATAATAATTTTAATTTGATGTCTTGTTGCTTTATAGTATTGATAACCGTGGTAGCTCAGTAAGTAAGACACTGGCCAGGATGTCCAGGGGTACGCTTACGGTGCTGACCGGGAATGTTCATCGGAATTTTTCGACTAATTTGTCCTTATTAGTGTTTACGATCCCACCAATGTAGGTGACATGCATCGGGGTCGTCTGTCCAGCCTCTTTGGTTTTCTCCGGGTTATTTTATTGTTACGGCAATCTGTGCATCAAAAGTTAAACAAGTCCCCATATTTTTTATCACAAACGGGGTTGGTACTGTGGGACTTAAGTTTCGTTTGCAAACACGACTTCAAAGGGAATGTACTAGTGGTCAATGCATCATACCATGACGTGATCATGACTTCAATTACAGATACCATAATCTGATAAATAAACAATACCATATATGATGATGACTCTTATCCATTTTCCTTATTGTCGGACGCTATATAACCAGGAGTTTACTGACAGTAAGTCAGACTTGGAATAGAGCTCCTCCCGACTATGTCTATTTCATGTTCTTAATAACGGTCTTATCATTATGCTGATCTTCTGTTGTCTGTAGTCTTACATATTTCCAGGTTATTATCTAGACTGTTGTCTGTAGTCTTACAGATTTCCAGGTTATTATCTAGACTGTTGTCTGTAGTCTTACAGATTTCCAGGTTATTATCTAGAGCTACGATAGATCCCCTGGTCTTGCGTAATATTTCATTTACATTTAAAGACAGAAATAAAATGATGTACATCAGTTATTGATGGCAGAACCGATTTCTTCACCTACGTGGACTCACCAATAGCAAACAATCGTCTCTGTGAATCAATGATAGAAAGGTGACATTTCCCTCCAACCCCTATCTAAAACATAAAATGCTCCCATCGTCATCGATGCGGTGATACGGGGTACATGTTTGTTGCGTTATGGAATGAACTATTTCATGCTTTGGATAAATTAATTCAACCGATTGTGTTCCTTAAAGGAGCAAAATCTTTATTCTTTGGCAGCTAAAAATAGACACACGTGGGTTGCAGCGCATATAATAATATAATATGAATGTATATAAAATGATTTACATTCAATCGTTTCTGTTTTTACTGCAATTTCTAATCAGTTATGTTTGGCGAAATACGCGAAGAGTGCACATTGAATGGCAGTCGTTGGTGTCTGGTTATTCCAGTCTACACCGGTGGTATTCTCCTGTTCGATGGTATACCAATAAGTCATTTTTGTACTGTCGAAGACTGTGGATGATATTGAGTTAGCGACTTGCCTCCTTTAATATCAGAAAAATAGTATGTAACTATTGATTTTAGCAGATTTTAAACTTTTAGCCACAGACAAGATTGTTTTTTTTTTTTTGGGGGTGGGGGGTTCAACGAAGTGTAGGTTCAAAATGAACAAGTGCCTCCATGAAAAGATGACAAAGGAACGATTTTGAGTAATACGAAAAATTTAGTTTTTTTATGAGTTGAAATTGGTTCGGTAGATCTGTATTCGACGCTATGGCGAAAATTGGAGAACTTATTTGAAACCGTTGAGCGACCCCGGACTAAATATACAATGACAGTCCTCCAAAGCCGGGCACATATTGATTCAGATGTACAAGCAACGGAAAACAAATCCGTTTAGCCGTTGTATTTCATACCAATGTTCAGCGATACAAGACAATAAACATCGAGACTGTATTTGACGAGACACATTGAAAAGTGCCAGTATCACTTGCCAGTCATATTGAAGAGCGTGATGCACTATTATACTATTCAAAAAAAGTAGGGGATATTTGATTTTGGGGGCATAGTACTAAAATATGCAAATTACTACGAAAAAAGTCACTATAGAACCTAAGAGAAGAAACATTTCCAGTTACATGTTACGCCCAAACGCACCAATAGCTACCGCATGGAATGCAGGTGATGCTTGGGATCATCATGGGGGTCCAACCCAAGATTTGCACGACTCTGACTTTGAATGTTACAGTCATTGTGGCATTGAATTCCAGGGTGGAAACATCAGTTTAATTGTTTTAGTGACCAGAAAACAAATTTTGATATGCGTCGGCTTACCCAAAATGAAAGGTTACGTGCCCTTGGCATGCTACAGATCGGCACAACACAGGCGGTTGTGGCGCGGACGATGAATGTTTCTCAGTCTGTCATAAGCAGGCTATGGTCCAGATACCGTGATACACAATCTGTACAGGACAGACCACGCTCAGGTCGACCAAGGGCGACAACTCAAGCCCAGGATCGATTTATCCGTACCTTGGCCTTGAGAAATCGTGTCATCACAGCAAATCAGATCAGCGCTCGTCTTCAAACAGACACTGGTGTGAGAGTGAGTGGCCAGACGATTCGGAATCGACTGCATAGGGGTCACCTTCGCGCCCGACGTCCTCGCGTGATCCCTTGTTTGAGAGATCATCACATTCAGGCAAGACGTCGTTGGTGTAGGGATCGTCAACACTGGGATAATCGACGCTGGAGCAATGTGATGTTTTCAGATGAGTCAAGGTTCACTGTTGATTTTTTGGACAGACGTAGCAGGGTGTGGCGTCGTCGAAACGAGCGCTTCCAAGACGTTAACGTCATCAGACATGATCGATTTGGGGGTGGTTCTGTTATGGTGTGGGGAGGCATCACTGTTGCTGGAAGAACGGCTTTACATGTTGTTGCAGGGCGTGTTACAGGCCAGTACTGCCGGGACAACATCTTGGCAGTCCATGTTGTGCCGTTCGCACGACGTCATGGCCGCCGTTTCATCTTCCAGGATGACAACGCAAGATGTCACAGGGCCAGGATCGTTACAGGTTACCTCCAACAACAGAACATCACCACATTACCTTGGCCAGCACTGAGTCCCGACCTCTCCCCCATCGAGCATGTCTGGGACATGCTTGGACAGAGGTTACGTCAACGTCAACAACGTCCTGCCAATGTCCAAGAACTTGCTGCTGCGTTGCAACAGGAATGGGACAATCTGGACCAAAATGACCTTAGACGTCTCATTAGGAGTATGCCACGTCGGATCAATGCTTGTTTGGCAAACAGAGGAGGATTTACCCGTTACTGACTTGGTAACTTTGCTGTTTGACCCCGGGTATCATTTTACCCTTATAATGGCCAGTCTGTGCCTTACTTAGTCTAACGATCATTTGGAATAAATCGACGAATGTGAACTTCATTTCATTTTGTCATTTGTTCCTTCGTCAGTTTCATTAGGTGACTTTAATAACACTTAAAAATCAAATATCCCCTACTTTTTTTGAATAGTATATTTGACATTTATATGGAAGAGGGTCAGTTTTATGTGACAGTCCAAATAGAGACCCTGAATCCGAGGGAATTCTTATTGATATATACGCCGAAAGAATAAAGCATTGTAACCGCGTGATTTTGTTTTGATCTTATTAAATTAGGGGGTTTAAGTTTCCGACCCCGCTGGTACGTGACAAGGAGAAGGTTCCAACTTCGCGGGTTTTCTCCTGGTTCCCCGGTTTCCTACCACAGCTAATAACCCCTACGGGCAAGCAAATTGTTGTAATAACATCGAACCACATGTTAGTCCCATCAATGACCTAGTTAGATGAATTGTATAGGGTTTCTTAGTACGGCATGAGCGGGTTATTTGTCAACCAGCAATTAAAGGTTTTGACGTGGACCATGACATACTCTGAACTGTGAATCGTTATGATCTGTCCCCAAATCAGAATTTAACAAAGTACAACAGGTGTTTTTTTTCTCCATTAGGCGCATATAGTTAGGCGGTGAAAGCCTCGACACACCCATCATAAGAGTAATAACGGGAACACCGCTGAATGGCATTATGGTTCGCCCATTCAAACAGAATTTTAAAGAAATTCACGAAATACTGTAGCCATTAACGCGTTAAAAATTTTTTCGGAAACGGAAGGGTAATTCCGAAGCCGAAGTGGCGAAATGCTTAATCGCGGTAGAGTTCGTCCTCTATTGACATCATCGCTGCACACCAGATATAAAAATCATCCGTTAGACAAGGTAGCCTCTATCACGTTAACAAGACAATGGCTGGAAAGAGATGACGACATCATAAGCCCAAACTGACATGTGGCCATATACAAACAAACAAAAAAATGAGTAATGATTTTATTATATTTATTAATAACACATTTATATAACATGGTATTTATAACATTCAAACAATTTATAAATCTCGATTATTTACAAAAAACAATACGTCGCCTGATTGTATATTTACCGTACAACAATGTAGTATAACATATATTATATAGATTAAGGAGTACCCCTATTTAGGGTGTAATAGCGTAACCGTAAGGACTGGCAGCTGGGACAGCAGCATAGGCAGGGTTGGCTGCTGCTTGTTGGTAAGCAACATTGCCATAGGCCGGGTTGGCTGCTGCTTGCTGGTAAGCAACATTGCCATAAGCCGGGTTAGCTGCTGCTTGTTGGTAAGCAGGTTGATAAGCAGCGTTGCCATATGCAGCGTTGCCATAACCAGCTGGATTAGCTGCTGCACCGTAAGCACTATATTGAGCTGGATCTACCGCAGCCCCATAAGCAGAGGGATATTGAGAAGGCATTCCATAAGCTGTCTGTCCACCATATCCATAAGCAGCTTGTCTCTTGCTTCTTATTTTAGATTCTCCAAATGTAACTGTACACAGGACAATACACACGGTAACCTGAAATAGACACACAATAACATTAGTAGATTAGAAATATTTCTAACATCGTGTTTTTACAATAAACACGGTAACCTGAAATAGACATAAATAAAAGAGACACATCGTGAACGCAGAATTGTAACACAATTTCATAGACTTGCGACCTCACCGGTCGGAGGAATTTATGGGATATATTGCCACATAACAATAAAAATAATACTAGTTGTTATTCCCTGTCTGTTTGCTGTTCTGCCACCATGCTTAATAAATGAGCTACATAATTTACAACATTCAACCGGTAGACTTTTTATAAAAAAATATATTCTAATCAAACTGCACTTGTTAAAAACAATCTTATGGGAGAGAGTGGGAGAGAGAGGGAGGGAGAGAAAATGCACACCGCGAGTTTGGACAAGCGACCCTACTCCTTGTAGTTGAATCGAAACCACGTCACTTAACTGGATACCAGACCTTATGATCTAATACGCACGCGTTAAACCATTCAGTCACCAACCCCCTTTTACACAATAGTCAATCTATCGCTGTGTAAGAAATATTGGAATTCCATTTATTTTTACAGGCTAGCAAGGGGTATACATTTACTTGTAAATGTTTAATATTAAAAACAACTTGGAACAAATTCATATGTCTGCTACATTACCAGAGCCCGTGTACATGTTGGAATCCACGTAAAAAATAACCCTTGGCATTTGGAATCCGAAATAATAGTAGGACCTGTCTGTAGCGCTGCTGTCATGGCAAAATTGCTTTTAAAGCACAATACATGGCAATCGCCCGTCTTCATTAGTCCAGTGCTTGACGCATGTCCGGATGGCGCAGAAAGAAGAATGTTCAATCCCGTTTCATTTCATTTTAGAAAATCAGTTAAGTTTGTACCTTACCATTAAGCTTCTCATGATTATTGTTCAGGTGTCTGTAGCTATCGTTAATCTGTACAGGTGTAGATGTCTTTAATCTGTAGATACACAAAAACAGATGTCGTATAGACTTATATACCCCCACAGTTAAACATATATAACATTTACTTATTGTTTCAGCCACGCGACTTCATAAACCACAAATTCACATTTTCTAAAAAAAAAAAAAAAAAAAAAAAAAATCAAATTTAACAGACGAAATCATATTCTTGTTTTCTTAAATATCTTCAAATAGACATTCTTTTAATTCTAGAATCAACGGTTTATTTCTCTTTTAAACAAACAAATACGTGTTCTTATATACTTTAACACACATTCTACACATTGTAGCTAATTATGTCACATTGCAATGACGTAAATGATCCAATTCAATTTGTAAGCGTGCCGAGTAGAATTTAGCTATGTGACGCAAACAATAGATTCATGCATTATAATAAATGTATTAATATACATCAAGACGAAACATGGCGTGTATTGTGCACAAATAATATAAATTAGTTTTTTTTAGTGAAGATTAAGACACAAATCATCCAGACACTGAGACTTAATAGTGTATGTTTTTATACCCTTGGATCACAATGAACTTTTTATTTGTAAGTTTGTTTTTATTACTTTTACTTACCAATAACATGTTATGAGGCACTTTGTTATTTAATATACGGTAATCCAGCACAGTTTATTTTGTTTAAAGATACATTATGGAAGATTAGATAAGAGCTGGCAGTTCTCATTATAATAATTAAAAACTAGATAATGTAAAGGCAATTTGCTGAAAATTTCAGTCAAATTGATTCACTATACACCCAGATTTTAGCGATTGAATTTTCGGCCTAACCTCGATCATCATTACTAAAGTCGGTAGGATAAAAGACATAGTCTCGATTATCCATTTCATGATTTAATTATGAATGGAAGTCGAACAGCAAATCGAAACCTAATCCAATAAACATCGCATGCTAGAGATGCCATCGAGAGTTGATTATGGTCTGGATAAGTTAATTAATGTCTCATTTCAGGCCTAAAAAGAAAGATTTGCAATAGGCATATTTAGCTCTTGCATAATATATGTTTAAGTTAGTATGTTAGATATTTTTGTGTTACACAATATTGTCATCTCAACATTCTATCAGTAAATTCACTATTGGATATATTTAATAATAGACTCCCGATTCAATTGGTGCATTAGTATGGGAACAAATATATATTTATAGAAATTGGGTTTAACGTCCACTCGATGCAAAGTAGGCCATTTCGTGGCTATTATATGCTTAAATTTAAAGTGTATAATACGCTTGGTGTCTCTAGAAGTGAGGGGAAACCGGAGGACCCGGAGAAAACCCACGGGGTTAGACAGGAGACCCTTGTCACGTACTAGCTTTGAATTAAAACCACGCCACTTGACGGACGTTAAACCATTCGCTCCACCTCCACTCTTTGGCCACCTCTTTATATGTAATGTTTCAATAGACTTTAGGTTTACGATTTATTTAGTATCCACCCCCCCTTCATATATAATGTGTCAATAAAGTTCGGGTTTAGGATTTATTTAGTACCACACCAATATGGAATCTACTGTGTTCAGTGCCGGACTGGTGGGCCGAAGGCCCACCTGTCAAGTCATTGACCAAGACCTACACAAGTACCCGCCGAAGGCGTGTCACGAGCGCGGTCCGAGGGGGGTCTTCGGGGCTCTCCCACCAGGAAAATTTTGAAAATTGACAACCGCAAACCAATTTTCCAGGCATTTCAGACCAAAGCAGAAGAAGGCAAATGTTTTATTTCCTGATACAATTAGATAACAGAATGACCTAAGAGCACTATCATTAGATGAATTTGAGAATTCTAGTACACCTCGTTTTTTTGTCAGTCATTTTTTTCCTATCTTTTCTTTCTCCTGTCCTGTCTCCTGTCCTCCCCTTTCTTCTTTCTTTTCTTTCCTCACCCTCTCCTTTCTTTCTCTTTTCTTTTTTCTTTCTCTTTTTTCTTTATAGGCATAGGCCCACTTTTTTTTAATGAGCTTAGGCCCACCTGTCACGGACAGGTGGACAGGTGGGCCCAGTCCGGCACTGACTGTGTTCTATTTTAGATTATAAAAACACGATGTTAGAAATATTTCTAATCTACTAATGTTATTGTGGTGTGTCTATTTCAGGTTACCGTGTGTATTGTCCTGTGTACAGTTGCATTTGGAGAATCTAAAATAAGAAGCAAGAGACAAGCTGCTTATGGATATGGTGGATACGGTGCTGTAGATCCTAATGCTCAACAGACAGCTTATGGAATGCCATCTCAATATTCCTCTACTTATGGGGCTGCGGTAGATCCAGCTCAATATAATGCTTACGGTGCAGCAGCTGCTTATGGTAACGCTGCTTATCAACCTGCTTACCAACAAGCAGCAGCTAACCCGGCCTATGGTAACGCAGCTTATCAACAAGCAGCAGCTAACCCAGCCTATGGTAACGCAGCTTATCAACAAGCAGCAGCCAACCCTGCTTATCGTAATGTTGCTTACCAAAAAGCAGCAGCCAACCCTACGTATGGTAATGTTGCTTACCAACAAGCAGCAGCCAACCCTGCTTATGCTGCTGTTCAAGCTGCAAGCCCTTATGGTTACGCTACTACTCCTTAGAATCAGATTTTAATTAGATAAAATAAAATTAGATAAACCCAAGACGGGTTGGGTTCATGTTATTATTGAGATATATATATTGAAATGTATATTGAAATGTGTATTGATATGTATATTGAAATGTATATTGACCCTAGACGATTTTTATCTCTGTAAATATCCTTTAATATATTAAATTGAGTTTGTATATTTAGACTGTGAATTTGCGTGAATATATTAATATCAGGGCTGCAATCGGTCATTTCTACGCTCTCTATGGGCGGTACGACAACATCCACGGTACGAAGGAGGCGTAGATACCAAGTCATCGTTCCTCTGTATCGTTGCATGGTTTCCTTCGTATCGTCGTCTTATGGAAAACAGAATGCTGGTTTAGAAATGAGAGAGAGAGAAATGGGGTTTAACGTCCACTCGACACAAATAGGTCATTTCGGGACTAGATTTAGAAATGAAAGGAAATGGAATCGGGTTTAACGTCCTACTTTTCTGGTCCAATAGTCAGAGAGAGAGAGAGAGAGAGGAGGGGATAACGCCCACTCGACACAAACTAGGTCATTTCGGGACTAACATATGGTTCAATTTTATTTCGATAATTTGCTTGCACGTAAGGGTCTTTAGCCGTGGTAGGGAACCGGAGGACCCGGAGAAAACCCACGAGGTTGGACAAAATCTAGAAATATTTAACCTGGAGGTCCCGCGGTCGACGGGATTTTCCGGCGTGGTCCCCCCCCCCCTAATCAGTGGTACAGGAAGGGGGACATGACAAGGGACACCGTATAGTAGTTCGGATGGGACGAAAAGCCGTTGTCCCGAGTAACACATTACGTAAAAGAACCTTTGCTATTTGGAATTCGATATAAGAATAGGACGTAGCGCCGCTGACCGGGCAAAATTGCCATCATGACAGACTGTATGGCCTATGCCCAACCTCATCTGGTCTAAATCGCTAACTGTAGTCTTAGCACCAATTTTATGCTATTCTCGTGGACACGTTGTTAATTAAACATTAAAGTATTTATATAGCGCCTAAATACCAAATGAATGGTTCCAAAGGTGCATGTTTGATTAAGAGATCCACCAATTATCCAAAGTGTAATTGGAACAAATAAGTTTTGAGTCTTTGAATATGTTCTTCTGGTTGCTATTAGATGAGATTGAATTCCATAGTTTAGGTGAAGAGAATTGGAAACATCGTCTACTCATTTGAAGGTTGGAATTCGGGCTATGGCTGTCAGCCAGTGGAGTTCACGCGCAAAACGGGAGTGATGTGGTCTCGCTTCTTGGTGCCAGTGATGAGAGCCTTCCGGCAGAGTTTTGAACGTATTGGAGCCTTTGGATTTGATGGTCAGGAATTCCGTATAATACAGCATTATGATAGTCAAGTTCAGCTATTAAAAGAGACTGGACAAGAAGTTTGAGGTTATCCAAAGAGAGATATTGTTTGATTTTATAAAATGAACATGATGATACAGCAGATATGGGTTTTTATCTAAGACTATTCCTATGTTCTTTACTTCAGCAGATGGCTCAATCTTTTCACCACCAACTGTTATGTTGCAGTCTCTGATTTGTTGGAGCTTCTGTCTTGTACCTGCGAATATCACCTCTGTTTTATCAGGATTAATACAGACTTTTGGCAAGCAGAATATTTCACATCCGTATCACGTATCAGTATCCTCACGTGATACGTTGCGTCAATGTAGTTTTAGAGTTTTGGATGAGGAGCTGAACTGAGCTTAGTTCTATTACAGCATGATGGCAGTTATCTACCAAAATTACCAGTCAAGTGCCTAGCCTACAAACTCCTGGAGGGAGTGAAGTCGTTCGACAGTCGCTGAGCTATTACAAAAAATATTTATGTCGGATCTTATTTAAAAAATCGCCTTCTTTGACTCGACAGTAATTTTTGGTTTCATTTCAGACAGTTTATACCCCTTTACCATAGAATCACATCATTTACAGATTTTCAAGGCCCCACCTCCCTAATTTATGAAAATATGAAAATTCCGAGAAAAGCTCATTAAAAGTAATGATACACATAGATTCATAAAGAAGCTATCGCACAACATTTCAGTGTCTAAAAGTAGCAAAAAAGACGGTGTTATACGGACCTTTTCCGTGTGAAAGCTGTTCGATACGTGATGCCTTATCCGTGTGCCGTATCACGTATCAGAAATACACACACACTGATGTCGTCACGCGCAAAATCCATACGGATACGGGATACGGACCAGGAATTTACGCTTGACAAATGTCTCTAATATCTGAATACAGTCAAAAGATTACAATAGTATACAAATACCACAATTGTTCGCCATATTGGCCCCCGTGGAAAAAATGTTCAATATTATGGTTCTTACCCACATAACTCACTCGCGGGAATAACAAGTGGTTACCATGCAAGATACTCTCACATTTTGCAAAAAGTAAAAACAAATGTAACGTGTATGGCAGTCGGAGTAGAACAGTAGGACCTTAAACCCCATTTCATTTCATTTCATTTTACAACCGGATACCACCAGATACTAACTAAATACTACCAAATACCGCCACATACTACCTCAGTATTGTTAAGGGGGGTCACGGTAGCTAAGTGGGTAAGACGCTGGCTCGCTAGCCTGGAGGTCGCGTGTTCGATCCCTGCATTGGCCGAGAAAGTTCATCAGGATTTTCCGGCGTGGTTCCCCCTTGTCAGTGATACAGGACGGAGGGCCTGACAAGGACAGCTGTCTAGCCGTTCGGATGGGACGAAAAACCGAGGTCCCGTGTACACATTGGCGTGCACGTAAAAGATCCCTTGACAGTTGGAATTCGATACAAGAGTAGGCCGTAGTGCCGCTGTCCGGGCAAAATTTCCCTCATAGCACACTGTATGGCGTATGCCCGTCTTCATTAGACCAGTTCGGAGCAAAACAGTAGGACGTTCAACCCCATTTCATTTCATTTCAGTATGGTCAAAAATTAAAAGAAAAAATCTGATGAAAACACAGAACCTATTTCGTTTCGTTTTTTATAGTTCAAAATTTCGTTTTACTTGTGTTTACTACACTAAGATCTGGAAGGGTTGTTACGGAAGTGTGAGTAAACCACTAGAAATGTCAATGCTGACTGATTAATCAAATGTCTGACATCATAGGGTCAAAAGTAGACGCCATCGAAAGTATAATATAAAAAAACGAAACGAAACGAAATGTAGATCTGTATTTTAATCAGGTTGAAAAAGAAACTTGATTTATATAAAACAAATAAAAGGATCCAAAAGCTTAAACGCGATTTGGTGTAAATAGGATAAAACTGTGAAGACGTCCAGACGGACAGGGGCGGCGACATAATACATATATCTATTGTATTGGTACTTCCAAACATACATAAATAGGCTTCGATAACAAACCTAATCTCTCAACCCTCCGTGTTTCGACGTCCTATATAGTTCTACGTGGCAATGCCGAGCGCGAATCACATCCGGCCTCAGTAAGCAAAATTGACAATATTTTTCATCAAAACAACGAGTGATTATTGTTATTTATAACATTTCTGCCACATCCAACTACAATTAAGCAGAAAATCCTACCTGACACGGGTACAAATCCCCTCTTTTTTAAATCAAAGCGATAGTAGATTACTTTTCCGACAATCAAAGTACTAACCTGATCAGAGTTACGCAGGGCCGTAGTTATGAATGTCCGTATCAATTTTAATAAAAAAAAACCCGCTTGATTTACTTTATTGTCAATATTTGCTGATAAATGAATGTTGTTTCAGCAGATTGGGCTGCGTATGTGTAATAAGTACTAATAGTATAACATTAACTTATTTTTAAAGGAGCTAAATCGCTAATATTTGGGACCTAGAAATTGACTCAAATGGGTCGCAACGCATATAATAATGTAATCTGATTGTATATAAACTGATTTACATTCAATTGTTTCCGTTTTGACTCTAATTTTAAATCAGTTAGGTCCAGCGAAATACGGTATAAGGTTATTTCTAGCGTATATGGTTATTCCAGTTTATTGCGCATGCTCTCCTGGTAAGTTATGGCGTCGCCGTATGACATGAGTTGTGGAATATGTCTAGCATCGCTCTTTTTGGTCACTTGTTACCAATGACGATGAAACGCACTATTACACGATTCGTGTACCAATGGTAAAATGTTTATTTTGTCTTAAATATTGGATATCAGGACCCCGTTTCACAAAAACTTAAACTAAAATCACTAAAATTGATTTTAACTAAAATCAAACTGAAATTTTAAATTTTATACGTTTCACGAAGATCGATTGCAACTTAAAATGCAATTTTGATAGATTTTAGTTAAAATTGCTTGCACTCGCGCAGTGCACAATTCCGGCGAGGGCACTTAGGGTGTAAGCATACACGCTTCGGAACTGAAAATTATTGCCAGGTTGAACTAACCGCTACAATACCAATGAGGGGAGTTTCATACGTTGTAACAATGTCTGCACATGGTCAGGCAGTGTAGAGAGAAGAAATAAATAAGTTTATTGCGTGCTATCCGTTTTGAAATGTATCAGTTGGTTGGCCTTGAACTTGCATGTCGCTTTCGTGACCTTGGCATTTGATTTACTCGCAGGCTTCAATGGAAATAATGCGTATCGCTAAACTAAATCGCTTGAATTTCGTAGTTTTATGGTATTTTGAATAACAGAAACTATTGAGAAATTGCCATAAACATGTGATATTTCTGACTCAAACGATTAATCTAGACTAAGGTATTGTCGAATTTTAAAAGTATTTAATAACTTTTAAACTAATACACGAAATAACCAATGTTCCGATGCCTAGATTTGAAATGTCAGTCCCATGGACCCTTTCAATAATAATTTGAAAATGCCAAAGTGCCACACTCCTTATTGGATAATGCCTATCTATCTTACTAAATTAAAATGATTTTTTCTCAATATAAAATACCCTTGGCTCCTATATAAATCATCATAACCCCAAAACCATAAATACTTTGCATATGGCGTATCTAGTATTATAGGACTGACGTGGCTTCGATTCCCCGGTTGTACGTGACAGGGACTAGGGTCGCCCGTCCAACCACGTGAGTTTTCTCCGGTTTCCTCCCACTACTAAAGACCCTTATATACGCGCAAGCGAATTATTCAAATAAAATTGAACCATGTGTTAGTCCTGAAATGACCTAGTTTGTGTCTAGTGGACGTTACCCCCCCCCCCCTCTCTCTCTCTCTCTATATATATATATTATAGACATTAGATATGAAATGAAATGGGTTTAGATTTTGTTTTTAGGTTGGTTTTTTTTGCCTATTACGTATTTGAAAATAGTATAATTTATACTTGAATCATATGGTAATATATAAAATAGTAACAAAGAGTTTTGTTAACTGGGGTTTTGAGGTTTTTTTGTTCTTGGGGCTTTAATTTGGGGCGTCATCTAATTGCTTATATTGCCTTACAATCAGACAAACGGGTGGACCGCAGCTATATTTACCATGCAATGAAAAGAAATTGAATGAAAATTATTTTTGTGAATTATAGTATGTTTAAATTATATAACCCGGGCCATTGGCAATATTATCATTATTCCAAATATATCTATGTGTCGCAAAAGACCTCACAACGTAGCTCTAATTAATGGCGTGATTTTAAGTTAGGAGAGGGTGACGGCTGTCCTAAGTTAAAATTGATTTTAGTTAAAATTGTCCCTAAAATAGTTTTGTGAAACGCCACTATTTTAAGTTGAGATACAATTTTAACTTACAATATTATTTTAGTGGATTTTATCTAAAATGCCTAAAATCGTTTTGTGAAACGCATCGATCTTAAGTTAGGATGAAATTTTAGTTTAAGACGATTTTAAGGGGATTTAAGTTTTTGTGAAACAGGGCCCAGAAGCCTACCTTTTCCCGGTAAGATTACAACATCAATGTTGATTTGAATTTACAAATAATTCGTGTTTTTAACGTGTAAGACTTTGGATGATATTGAGTTAGAGACTTATACTTTAAGATGGGGGGGGGGTGGATGGTCGAATGGTTAGCACGCGCGCGCTGTATCATACGGCCTGTCATTGAGTCAACTGGCGGGGTTTCGATTCCCCGATTGTACGTGACAAGAAGTAGGGTCGCCTGTCCAACCTCGCGGGTTTTCTCCGGGTCCTACGGTTTCCTCCCACTGCTAAAGACCCCTACGCGCAAGCGAATTATTGAAATAAAAATTAAAAAAAAAATATGTTAGTACCGAAATGACCTAGTTTGTGTCGAGTGGACGTTAAACCCCATTTCTCTCGCATTAATAAAGAAATTGAGTTTGCCAATTGGAACTAAAGGCATACAATCGTAGCTAAAAACAAGCACACCAGTATATTTCAACGTTTTTAGTTACGTTCTCGTAGCTAAGGTGGGCTTATTTATGCTCATGGGCCCAGGGGCAACTGTTACCCATCGGTTAAGACATATCATTTATCATTCTTCATTCTCACCTTAATGTTTAGCTGAACGCAACCACTTGCCCAAACGCAAATCATGTTGTGACAATGGAAATCGAATAGGCTCGCGGAAATGCACGTGCATGAACGTGTTCTTGGAGGTAGCTTATATAAGGGTGTCGTGTTGCTTGTGATCAGATCAGATTACACTGTAGACTGTGTCATGTATAATTGTAAGTTTGTCTTCTTATTAATTATTTGTTTGTTGTAAAATCTTGAGTAGTTCTAATTATAATAATTTACAATCTTGCCATTGCTTTATAATCCTGGGCCCTGTTTCACGAAATTTTAACTAAGATAAAATCTAAGTTGTAGTAATTTGATTGGATAATATTAGATTGATTTTAGTGCTTAGCCAATCAAAATTGAAGTATCTACTAAAATTGGATTTAATCTTTAGTTAAAATTTCGAAAAACAGGGCCCTGTTCCTGTAGTAGTTGGCGAATGAGGTTAGACCTATCGTTTATCATGAAAGTATTCGATGATCTAAGATATTTGTTAGACATCAGTCAAAATTCTCCGGTTGTTCACATCAATATTCCTTTTTAATCCATTTTTTTGTAATCTACGATAATAAACATAAAATTTCTTCCTTTTTTAATCTTGTATTTCACTATAGATAAGCATGTTGAATTATTTCTGTTGTAATGATTTAAGGGTTTAGAGTGTTACAGATTGTTGGCCTTTTTACGATGACATGTACCATCTCAAGGGCAGTTAACTCTAGCCTTTTTTACAATCGGCCTATTTGTTTTTCTTGATAGTCCACATTGAATCAAGTTACAATAAACAGAATGGGTAAATGTTATATATTTATATTTTAGACCTGATGGCTAATACTGTACTACACTGTTGTTTATTACTGGTAAGTCTTATTTCATATCAACCATTGCTAGATGGAAATCAATTGCTGTCCGGGGAAAATGTCCCGTCATAGCACACTATCTGGTTAGCTACGAAAACGTAATTTGAAACGTTGAGATCTAATGATGTATTTGTTTCTAGTTATGATTGGGTGCCTTTTTTTTAGTTCCAAGTGGCAAACTCAGTTTCTTTATTAAAAATACATTATGGGAGATAAAGAGATGGCAGTTCTCGCTATAATAGTTAAAAACTGGATAGTGTAAAGGTAATTTCCTGAAAATTGCAGTCAAATTGATCCACTATGAGCCGAGAAAGAACCGGGTGAAATTTTTGCATAGTCTCGGTCATCATTACTAAAATCATAAATATAAACGGCATAGTCTCGATTATCCACTTTTTCTGATTTAATTATCAGTGGCCGTTAGCGGCATATAGGAATCTAATCCAGCCAACATCGAAGGCTAGCCTTGACATCGAGAGTTTATTATGGTCTGGATAAGTTAATTAGTGTCTTAATTGATAATTTAGATAACATTTCAGACCTAAAGAAAGACTTGTAATAAGCAGATTTTGCTCTTGCATAATGCATGTAACATCTTAAAAATTAAATTCTTACTACATATACGCAGCCCCATCTCTGAAACAACATTCATTTTATCAGCAAATATTGACAAAGTAAATCCGAGCGTTTATCAAAATTGATACGGACATTCATAATTACAACGTATTACTCCTGCGTAACTCGATCAGGTTAGCACTTTGGCTATTGTACACGAGGGGCCCCACCTTATGTGTTAAAGACGTATTTAAAATGCCGGAGAAAGCAATCTACTATCCCTTCTATTTAAAGAGGTGATTTGTACTCGTGTCGGGTAAGATTTTCTGCTTAATTGTAGATGGATGTGGCAGAAATGTTATTAAACTACTAATCGTTGTTTTGAAGAGAATTGTCAAATTTCGCTTATTTGAAACCCGATGTGATTAGGTGTGTGTGTGTGTGTGGGGGGGTGCCACTTGAACTATATAGCGTTATCTCGAAACACGGAGGGTTGAGAGATGAGGTTTATCTGTGGCGTGTGCCTCGTCTTAATAGCACTGTCTGACGTGTGCCCGTCTTTATTAGCCCGGTTGCTGCAGAAAAATAGGACGTTAACTCTACTTTATTATGCCATATCGAGAAGAGATTTGCACTTGGAATTAAACTTAAATCCCGACCACAAATCTTGATGGCGGGAGAGAGAGAAATGGGGTTTAACGTCCACTCGACACAAACTAGGTCATTTCGGGATTTAATTTTATTTCAATAATTCGCTTGCGCATATGGGTCTTTAGCAGTGGGAGGACCCGGAGAACCCACGAGGTTGGACAGGCGATCCTACTCCTTGTCACGTACAACCGGGGATTCGAAACCACGCCAGTCGACCCAATGACAGACTTTATGCACCGTTTTCGTAGCAGTAATATTTGAATTTATAAATGGGTCATAAATCGCCATCGTATTCTTTTTCAGTTTGCATTATATGGTGGAAATGCCGATAATTATATTTTGGAAAGTAAGTAATTGACACTAGCACAAGTCCCACTTAAAGATAGATTATGTAAGATTTGGGTGAATAGCTATAATTAACCCTTGTGTGGACACGTCACAAAAAAAAATTGTCGGCAACAAGGGGTAATCTAAGACCCCAGACTTAAAATTGTTTTTAATGCATAAATTTTATTCAAAAACGATCTAAAGATTGAATAATCTAAGTAAAAAAGGGAAATTAGGTAAGAACAGTGACGATATGAATTAAGGTATTTTTGAACCATAAATATCTGCAATAACTTGTCATTTCCATGTAGAATCGTCTTTTGATGGGGTTGTTGAGTACCAAGATTTGTTTTTAAATTACCAAATGACCAGCACCATCAGTATCACCGAGCATAGACACAAGGGTTAAATCTAGATAGCTACACTATCCCAAGTCCGTCCTGATTAGTCATATTGGGTTTAGTTTCTAATAACCCCTTGAATTAAAATCTCGAATGGGAATACCGGTCTAAACATGGTGTAATTAGATTTATTTACAAAACTCAAATTTCATCGATCTATACCGAACTGAATGGATGGGCGGGCTTATCCTAAATTCAGGTGAATCTTGAGCCGGAGTGTTATTTAGCGCTGCACTGGCTGAGAAAGTTAACGGGATTTCCCTGTCCTATTGTTTTAGTCCTATTAATCATCCAATAGTTTTATATTGGCGAGAAATGAGAGGGCGGGTTGGGTAACGTCCACTCGACACCAACTAGGTCATTTTTGACAATCTTATTTCAATAATTCGCTTGCGCGTAGGGGTCATTAGCAGTGGGAGGACCCGGAGAAAACCCATGAGGGTGGACCTGCAAATCTACCCCTTTTGTCACGTACAACCGGGGAATCGAAACCACATCAGTTGACTCGATGACGACCTTATGATAGTTTTATATTGGGTTAATAAAAAGGTTTCTGGTTCAATCCACCCAATAGATAAGTCGAAGTTGCGTTTCCTATTTGTACCGATATTTGTAATGTATTGCTGGTGTTTGATATCGAACCGTTTGTCATCTTTTTTATCTTTCAGTTTCCGTCAATTGTGGTACAGCAAAGGGAAACAACCCAGTTGTTAATATATTAACTGATGTGGCTATATCCGCTCGAGCACGATGTTATGGTGGTGATCAGAGTTTTACAACAACAGATAAAGTTCATTACACCCTTCCTGGTACATTAACATCGGCTAAAAAAACCTGTAGATGGCATGTAAGTTGGGATCACTAAAGTTGGTTTTATTCAGTTATTTACGCCCCGTTCCGTGAAGCCATTAGTTCTAGAAAGTTGGAGGGGATCACGTGGCTAAGTATTAAATTCAATTTAACGACAAATTAAAATGTCAAAACACACGAGAGCGTAATGAATGTACAGGAAAACAATACTTTAAGGTCACGTGGGACCGCCTCCTATGGTGTCGCCTATGAATTATGCCCCTTGTCTCGAGCTAACGAGGACGACCATTGGCAAGTAACGTCTTCATATAGGCCCTATGATTGATATTAAATTTTATTGTATCATGTGTAATGTATTTTACAGACGTTAGTAAGCTATGATGGGAGTTGTGCTCCAAGTAGACATAGATTTATTTGTAGTGTATTTATGGATAAGGTGAAGCAGCAACGAACATGGGTCATATACTATACGTGTTGGTAAGATAGGGTATGATTAATGGACATAGATTTTATTTGTATTTTACAGCAACGAACTGGATCTTATACATATACTGTAGACGTATTGGTAAGATATGGTGAAGTTGGTAGTTTGATTTTAACCAAAGATAAAATAAGGACAGTGGTCTGTACATATGATCAATATGGTAAAGATGCTTCGCCTCAACATACTATTCTTGACAAGTAGGTTATCTTTCTCATTCAATGCAATAACCCATATATAGAGTTGAGGGTCATGAGTCAACTGACGTGGTTTCGATTTCCTCCGGTTGTACGTGACGGAGTAGGGTCGCCTGTCCAACCTCGTGGGTTTTCTTTCGGTCCTCCGGTTTCCCCCAAATGCTAAAGACCCTAGGCTCAAGCGAATTGAAATAATTTTGAACCATGTTAGTCCCGAAGTGACCTAGTTTGTGTAGAGTGGACGTTAAATATATGTAGTTACTAGTAAGTGCAGGGAGGCTTGCACCACCAAGCTTTAATGAAATTACAATGTTTTCTTATCTAAACTTCAAATCCAAGATGGCTGCCATGGAGGAGAAATGCGATTTTTCTCAATATTGAGTCAAAATGTGGCATTTATGATGCGTATCCTGCAGAGAAAGATCACAAGCGGGTAAAAGACTGTAGGAAAGATATCAAAGATTATCTGGCGAGCATATATCAAATAGAAAAGTAAAAGCCGGTTGGGCTCTGAAACAAATTAAAACCATCAAGAGATTTTCTGACGAGATAAAGGAATTCTTATTGAAGGAATTCATGCGTGGGGTAGACACTAGTAGGAAAGAGGTTCCTAGCAACGTTTCTAAGAAACTGAGATCTTTGTTTCCGAAAGAAAGCTGGTTATCAGCCAAACAAGTGACCAGTTACTTCAGTAGATTAGCTGCCCGTCCAAAAGCTGGTCATCCTCTAGCAGTCTCATCAGCGCCATCTGAAATTGATGAGAATAAAATTGCCGCCACCGAAACAACGAATAGGCGACGACTAAAGTAAGAGAACAATGTGAAATTTGAGTAGTTCATATAGTTACAGAACTATTGTCATCTTTATCTTGAATGATTTGTTGTCACTTGCTGCCATTGTGTATTATTATAATACAACAGTGTCACCTGTTGGTTTGACTTCATTGGTGCTAACGCCCGAAACTTAACCGCCCCTAACACGATTGCCATTTTGGAGTTTTGTGATCCTGATGTTCCTGATCATGATGTACGTTTAATGTATGCATACGTTTAATGTATGCATACGATTTGTTTATCTCTGTTGAATGATGAACTCTCCGTGTCATCTTATAGTTACGTCTTCGCCGCGAAGCGCATTCAGTGCGATTTGACCCAGATCAAAGCACAGAGCACATATCTAGAGAGCAGATTTAGAGGCAAAATTGCGACAAAATTTACCGGAAACGGAAATAAAAATTCAATGTCCACGTCGCGCTCGTGGTGCAATTTTCTGCCACATTGCGGGCCATGTACTCTGTGGTCCGCAACGAGGCAGAAATTCCACCACGAGCGCGACGTGGACATTGAATTTTTATTTCCGTTTCCGGTAAATTTTGTCGCAATTTTGCCTTACGTTTCCTCACTATTAATCAGCTCTCTAGTTATGTGCTCTGTGGATTAAAGGAAGCCGTCGCTCAGATGATGCTGGGGACAATCTATTCAGTCTCCAGTCCCGGCTTCTTTTGATCTGGGTCATATCAGGTGGCGGCGATAACGGAACTGACAAGTGTTCATCATTCATATAATATACTGTGGATATGATGACTGATGGGATACTCGCTTTCGTGTCTTATTATTGTATTTGTCACTTTTGTATTGAATTCTATTCTAAATCTCTCACGATTAGATGAACATACTAATTTGAACGATAAATTATAGCATAATAGTATCGAGTGAGGGGATTGTTCTCGGGCATAGAAATCAAATCCTCAAAATACGTTATTTCGCTATACTACTCATGTTAGTAAATTCATACTCTATACTTACTAAATCCTATTTCTAGATCTAAAAACCTTTTTAAAAATATTTTGTTATTAGTGATTGTCGTGTAAAAAATAAAATCCCTTTCTTTGTTTGCAAATAAAAGTTCTGAATTGGAGCTTACCAGATGAGTCGCATCATTTCCTTATTCATAAATACCTATCAAAATCCTTTATATCAACATTGACAAATGTCGGGAATCCTAGCCTCTCAGGATACTATTGATGACCAATCAATCCTGCGCTAAATGTGAAGGGGTGATGAATTGCCTCGATTAGGACTCTTAACCTCATCTCTCGGTTCCAATTCATCTATTTAAATGACTCGATATACTGATTTTTCTCATATTTTGCTCACCACGAGACTGAGTGACTGATTTGTCAAAGTTTTTCCCAATGTTGTAGCCTAGCGGCCGTGGATTTTATTGATATTGTTAGGACATATAGTCGACTCAATATACTTACCCCCGATTTCGACCCACCCCCCGCTGCAGACGAGATATAGCACCTCAAAGATTGGGTACATTTCACTATGCGAAAAGTGGTATACAGAAAACGCCCCCAGCGGCTAAAGACTGTAACATTGTGTCGGTCTTTCATCTACCCACAATCGGACATAATCACTAACCTGATGCTTTTAGTATTTTATAGCTGAAATATGACAAATTTTCACCGGAAATTCGCCCAAAATCTTTCAGAGCCCAACCGGCTTTTACTTTTCTATTTGATATATGATCGCCAGATAATCTTTGATATCTTTCCTACAGTCTTTTGCCCGCTTGTGATCTTTGTCTGCAGGATACGCATCATAAATGCCACATTTTTGACTCAAAATATTGAGAAATCGCATTTCTCCTCCATGGCAGCCATCTTGGATTTGAGGTTGGACACCAAGCTAAAATCAACCGTGTCTGTTTCGCTAGAGCGGGTGGCGGTACGTTCGAAATATTTTTCATCCGAAATGCCGTGATATATAGGGCATTTAGAGCACTTTGTAAGTGTTGAGGCCTCCTAGAATCCTTTCAGTGAATATCGTTTATTGTCAGAAATCGGCAGAAATCCAGAAATCGGCAATCTTCTAATCAAAGATTCGCTATGTTGTAGACTAGCGCCGGTGGATTTTATTGTTGATATTGTTAGGACATACTTGCCTCAAAATACATACCCCCCGATTTCGACCCACCCCCTGCTGCAGACGAGATATAGCCCCTCAACGATTGGGTATATTTCACTATGCGAAAAGTGGTATCCAGAAAACGCCCCCCCCCCCCCCCAGCGGCTAAAGACTGTGATATTGGGTCGGTCTTTCATGTTGGGTTTTTAGGGGCCGACCCCACTATCCATCCACAATCGGACATAATCACTAACCTGATGCTTTTACTAGAATTTGATAGCTGAAAAATGACATTTTCACCGAAAATTCGCCAAAAATGGCTAAAAATCGACATAGGGCCATATCTAAGAGGGGGTTAATATTTGGGGTCGGCCATTTTGGCTTTTTGCATGTTGGGATGGGGTGACTTTATGAGTAAGAATGAATTTGGCCGACCCCCACCTTATCACTTTCTGCATGGTTTTCTCGCGGACCGACACTTAACAAGATACCAGCATCACATCACCATCTTGGACTTGTGACGTCAAGCGTGCCAGATTCGTATTAATGGTACTTGAATGGGTAGGGCCGTAGGCATTTTTTTTAAAGAGCCTCGTTCTCGAACAGATGAGTATCGCTTGCGGGACAAGTTGCCGTTCAAATATATTAACTGATAGTTAGGGTAAATATCGGTGTACACGTAATATATTCGACAGTTAGAATTTGAAAAGTGTAGGTCGTAGCGCCCCTGTCCTGGCAAAACATCACTCCAGTACACTGTATATCCGTCTTCATTGGCCGGGTCGGATCAAAACAGGACGTTAAACCATGTAAATGTTTTATATTTCAGCTTCATCGCACCTCGTGAACTTGGTACTATTATAGGATCTATTGTACCTAGCAGCCAATTAAAACTGAGTATTCAAGATGTCCATAATAAAGATGTTAAAGGAGATATGAATATCGATAGAAAATATACCATATATGGAAAATACACGGGTCCCAGTAAGTCGGTTTATATTTCAGATATGGGAAAAGTAATCACGGTCAAAACGATTGTATTGGGGGGGGGGGGGACTTGTGCTTTCTATGTCATTTTCATGTTCTACACAATTTTCCTGTGGTTCTCTTGTCAGTGAGGCAGGATGAAGGGCCTGGCAAGGAACATGTAGTTTTTCAGATGCAACGAAAAGCGGTTGCCCGGTCTACACATTAGCGTGCATGTGCACGTTATGCAAGAATATCCGGGGAATATTGAGCATCATGATCTATTAAATGAAGAGAGAACGCCCTGAATTGGTTGAACACCGCATGTAATTATGCCGAGTCAACCATATCCAAGATTTCACCTGTATTTTAGGTAAAGGTGTAGGATTAAAACCAGTTCAATGTGATGCTGTCTCGAGTTCAGGAAAACGTTATGCTATATTGCGAGCCGGGTAAGTCTAATTTGTTTTTGTGTAAATTGTGTGTGGTGTAGTTCCCCTGCACGTATAGTTAAACCATTTTAATCACTTGTATAGTATTTGCCTATGGCTCGTCGGTAGTTTTCTGGTAGAGACGGGGAATTGAAATCGAGATTTCATAATTAACACATCATAGACAATGTATAAAGTTTTATACGCCCACATTTTTATGAAACTTAAATATATCTCCTATCCCACAGATCTCGGTCCCTTTCGATATTCACGCACTTCAGTCCATAACTTCTAGATTATGGTCCCCCGATTGTTTGAAAAATCACGTTATGTTTTAGCTTGTTGCTCTTGAGAAACCAGTTTGTTGGATATTCAGCGCTTTATAAATTATTATCCATCTCTTGCAAAATGTGGACGTATCTTGCCTTGACATTTGTTAAGCTCAGTCGTTTATTGTGGCAAAGATTAACAATCTGTTTTGTTCAAACAATCTTTATCAGTTTGCGAACCGGGAACAAAGTCAACGAGGTTTTTACTTTTTACAAGTAAAACACGTTATTAAAGGGCAAGACAAAATTCGTACAAGTAGTTTTAGGTAATTTCCGAATTCCCTCACTAAAACCGGAGGGCCTGACAAGGACGGCTGTCTAATCATTCGGGTGAGACGAAAAACCGAGGTCCCGTGTATACACTGGAATGCACGTAAAAGATCCCTTGGCAGTTGGAGTTCAATATAAGAGTAGGCCGCTGCCCGGGCAAAATTTCCCTCATAGCACACTGTATGGCGTATGCCCGTCTTCATTAGCCCAGCATAGGAGCAGAACGGGACGTTAAACCCCATTTCATTTCCTCACTAAAACCTAGCCGGGTTTTCTAAAATAATTCACTGTTACATCTGAAGTTCCTGCTCCTACTACAGCCGCGGGGGTTGGGTGGCCGATTGTTTAGTGTGCGTTGCATCATAAGATATCATAGTCAACTGTTGTGGTTTTAAATTCTGCGGTTATACGTGGCGAGGAGTAGGGTCGCCTGTCCAACCTCGGGAATTTTCTCGGTTTCCTCCCACAAGCTAGCTAAAGACCCCTACGCGCAAGCGAATTATTGAAATAAATTGAACCATATTTGAGTCCGGAAATGACTGTCAAGTGGACGTTAAATCCCATTTCTCCCTACTACCGCCACTATAGAAAACCCGTTTCGCATGTATTTAGCCGAGTTTACTAAGTCTTTCATTATTAGGGGGCTTGCAGTTAGCGGCTGTATCATAAGTCAGTCATTGAGTCGACTGGCATGGTTTCGATTTCCCAGTTGTACGTGACGTATTTAGCCGAGTTTACTAAGTCTTTCATTATCAGGGGGCTTGCATGGCCGAATGGTTAGCAGTTAGCGGCTGTATCATAAGTCAGTCATTGAGTCGACTGGCATGGTTTCGATTTCCCAGTTGTACGTGACGTATTTAGCCGAGTTTACTAAGTCTTTCATTATCAGGGGGCTTGCATGGCCGAATGGTTAGCAGTTAGCCGCTGTATCATAAAGTCAGTCATTGAGTCGACTGGCATGGTTTCGATTTCCCAGTTGTACGTGACAAGGAGTGGTCGCCCGTCAAACCTCGTCGGTTTTCTCCAGTTTCCTCTCCTTGCTAAGGACCCCTACGTGCAAGCGAATTATTGAAATAACTGCGTTAGTCCCAAAATGACCTAGTTTGTGTCGTGGACGTTAAAGCCATTTCTTTCATTCTATCTACTAATAGACACCCGTTTCGCATTTTATGTCTTTAGCACTTGGGTTAGTTACATATCTCTTACCATGGGATTTTATGTTTGCCATTGTTTCTTTTCAGATGTGGCGATGGATTGATTTTCAGAAAAGGAGATGGCTTTATAACGTCCGGTACAACTTTCCGTAGTCCGTATTTTGAAGGCTATCATTTAGATGATAGTAAGAGTCTATCGGTTGAATGTAATGTAACACTATGTACCAACTGTGCTGGGGTTCGTATTTTAAAGATGCAGTATGTAGGATTTAAGATAAAAGGCCTGGAAGTTTTCCTGTCATAAAGGGGAATATACATGTTAAATTTCAGTCATATCCTCATTCTGAGCGAAGTTATCGTAGTTTTCGGAACGGTGTGGTATCGATTGACATTGCTAGTTACCATAACCTTAATTATCCATTGTTAAATTAAGTCATTAACTGCCAATCCGATGTTCTAAAGCGATTATTGGCCAGCCCTGAAATTATATAATTTATAAAACTTAGCTCTTGAATAATGCGTCTTAAACAGGCCTTGATTAAGGCATATATTTAAGTCTTCTGACTTGTATATGAAAATTTAAATGTTGAGGAAAGAAGCACCGCATTATTATACGTCGTGATTAATTTAGAATATTTCGAGGTCTTGATGGAACTGAGAAGCGCCATCCCCATTCCCTTTTTCTTCAATATTTGGTTATATATTCCGTCAAGTAGTTATTATAGTACCCTACTGAATAGATAGATATAGCATGGTTGCTATGTACCTGAAATGACCGAGACGGAAACGATCTATAGAAATCGAGATTTCGTAACCATTTTTCTGTTAAACCACGTGTCTGGCGTTCGAAACGGGTTCGAATACTATTGGATCAACCAGGGTCGGTGCTCTTTTTTTGACTGAGCTATCCGGTCAATTAAACGTTTCTTTCTATTAACATTAATGTTTTTAGGGGCAAGAAACGGTTTAGAAAGAGCTAATCTAAGACGTGGCAAAACGCTCTAGTTTCAAAAAATTGTTATAGGAGTCTTCATCTAGAAGATTCTTTAAATAAGTGGGTGTGTTTTTAATTGTTTCAGTCGTCATGTGACACCGTATGTAATGGACCCCCAGGATTCGTTGTAACTAATGGTAAAAGAGGTTCGTGTGTAGGAGGTTATAAGTATAGGTCTATTTGTACCTATATCTGTAACCCGGGCTACAATAAACTATTTACTGGAGTGTCAGCATGTGGACCAGATGGGTTGTGGACCGTGCCAAAAATAACTTGTACCGGTGAGTTTATGTTGAAATGGATGGCTGTATTCAGGTCAGCAACTTTATCTTGGCTTAAAACTAGATCGCCACCTTTCGTTTCTCAGGGGTTGGCTCGATATCGCGAAGTCGCGGGTTCGCTCCTGGTGCTGAACGAGACTGTTCCTGGTATTGCCCGGTGTAGTTTCCTGTCGGCTGGCAAATCACACGGGATGAACCGCAAACTCATTTCCGTACACGTAAAAGAAACCCTGACGGTTGGAATTCGATTTAAGATTAGGCTATAGCACCGCTATCTGGGCAATATTCCCCACGGCACACTGCATGGTATATGCCGGCCTTTATCCCAGACGTACCCCAAGTGTGTAGGTTCTACATTCATAAACTTATTTTAGGATTCTCCCGCGTCAATTTAAAACAAAATAAATCGATAGTAAACGGTTAACCCGGGTAGCAAATAACTCGTGAAGACGCGCGAATCAGCGATGTAACATATAAGTAGACGACCGGGATAAATATTACTGACGAATATCGCCTCCCTTGGCTACATATGTAGTGCCTTGAGATGTGATTATGAATTGAGTCGCCGAGCCCAATGATATAGATGTGTGGTTGGTCGGGTACTCAAGTACTGTATGTTTTCAGCTAAGAACTGTGGAACACCACCTACTATTGTAAATGGAGCTAGAACCGCTGTGCGAACGTATTTCCCCAATGTCGCAACATACACGTGTAATGCTGGATATGCTATGAGAGGATCTGGAAGGGTTGGGTGTTTAGCAACAGGAAAATGGGCGGCCAGACCAACCTGTTATGGTAAGTATTGCTTTTAGCATCTGGGGCTCGGTGATTAAGACTCGAGTTCGCTAACCTGGAATTGCCTTTGATACAGGACGGAGTGCGGTAGTCGTTAGAATTTGACGGAAACCCTAGACTCCGTATACACATGGGCATGTATGGAATAGATCTGTTGGCAGTTGGAATACCATAAGGCCTAGTGCCATCTCTTGGCGCAAAACCACCCTCGTGGCACACTGTACGGCTGTGCTAGTCCTGGTTAATCAAGTCTGCTGCAGAAAAGCAGAACGTTAAACCATTTCATTGCAAGTCCTTTACGCCATTTTAAAAAAAAAATTGGATTCTCCCGCGTCAATTAAAAAAAAAATTAATACACGATTTGTGGTGGTGCCTTGAAATGTGATTGTGCAAAAGTGCGTGCTTCAATGAGGTTTCCTCCCACTGCTAAAGACCCCTACGCGCACGTGAATTATTGAAAATAAAATTGAACTATGTTAGTTCCAGAATGACCTAGTTTGTCAGTGGACGTTAAACATCTAAGAGTCCAATGATCCCTTTAAAGGAACTAAGTGCTTATCAGCTGTTATTAAAGGTTGTCGGTGAACGAGATTTTAACCTATGACCTATATAGGTGTGGGTTCGGTATATTCAGGTATATATCTTTTCAGCTAAGAACTGTGGAACGCCACCAAATCTATTAAACGGTGCTAGAACTGCTGTGCGAACATATTTCCCCAATGTCGCAACATACAAGTGTAATACTGGATATGCTATGAGGGGATCTGGAAGGGTTGGGTGTTTAGCAACAGGAAAATGGGCGGCCAGACCAACCTGTTATCGTAAGTATTGCTTTTAGCATCTGGGGCTCGGTGATTAAGACTCGAGTTCGCTAACCAGGAATTGCCTTTGATATAGGACGGAGTGCGGTAGTCGTTAGAATTTGACGGAAACCCTAGACTCCGTATACACATGGGCATGTATGGAATAGATCTGTTGGCAGTTGGAATACCATAAGGCCTAGTGCCATCTCTTGGCGCAAAACCACCCTCGTGGCACACTGTACGGCTGTGCTAGTCTTGGTTAATCAAGTCTGCTGCAGAAAAGCAGAACGTTAAACCATTTCATTGCAAGTCCTTTACGCCATTTTTAAAAAATTTGGATTCTCCCGCGTCAATTAAAATAATAATTAATACACGATTTGTGGTGGTGCCTTGAAATGTGATTATGCAAAAGTGCGTGCTTCAATGAGGTTTCCTCCCACTGCTAAAGACCCCTACGCGCACGTGAATTATTGAAAATAAAATGGAACTGTTAGTTCCAGAATGACCTAGTTTGTGTCAGTGGACGTTAAACATCTAAGAGCCCAATGATCCCTTTAAAGGAACTAAAGTGCTTATCAGCTGTTAAAGGTTGTCGGTGAACGAGATTTTAACCTATGACCTATATAGGTGTGGGTTCGGTATATTCAGGTATATATCTTTTCAGCTAAGAACTGTGGAACGCCACCAAATCTATTAACCTTGCAGCTGAGAACCGTTACGCGCAATAGAATCATTTTAAATATGAACTCTCATCGTGTTACAGACTAAACGTCTGTTGATTTTTAGTACAGTAGTCTCTAGGTACCGGTGATTTTTTTTTTTTTTTTTTTTTTTTTAACTAGAGTACTGTAGTCTTGACATTCAATAGATTACTACATTGCTCGATGAGCGACCTTTTCAGCATGCGTCCTACAACACTGGTTCTCTTTCAAATACGGTGGAGGGATGACAGAATGGTTAGCGCGTGCGCGTTGTATCATAAGGTCACTCATTGAGTCAACTGGCGTGGTTTCAATTCCCCGGTTGTACGTGATAAGGAGTCGCCTGTCCAACTTCATGGGTTTTCTCCGGTTCTTCTGGTTTCCTCCCAACTGCTAAAGACCCCTACGCGCAAGCAAATTATTGAAATAAAATTGAACCATGTGTTAGTCCCGAAATGACCTAGTTTGTGTCGTGTGGACGTTGAACCCAATTCTCTCTGCTGCAAATCCAGCTTGCAATTTAAAACTTTTTGGACATGGTGTTAATATTTAATTTTAAAAAAGAAAAAAGGGGGTCGATTGAACATAGACAATGCTGGACTACTGCACACCCTATTCAACCCCAGTGATATCGTTCCATTCAAACCAACTAACCCGCTCGGGATCTTCAATTATCACGTCAATTCAACGATTTTTATATACACTAGGAAATGGTGCACGATAACGCGGGCCTTGAGCCTTCGAAGATAACGCCGAACTATTGAAAGGATAACGTACTCTATTTCTAACTATTTTCTTTTTTTTTCTTTCAGTTTCTGGATGAAGCTTTAAATAAACAATTATTCAGAAACAATCTCTAGTGTTTTTATTAAACAAGGAATTTATTCGCTTGCCTAAAAGATCAGTGTCTACCTTGTGGGTGCCCCCGGTTACAGCATCACCTAGACAGCTGAGTTTCAGGTGTACACGAGACTTGGGGTTTTCTTCCAAAATTATTAGATACTGTTCCGTGGCAGTGGGGGGGGGGGGGGTGCACACTAGACAATTCTATAAGTGATCGAGCTAGTATCTTACTGTTCCACCTTGGTACAAAATCTTGACACAAAGTGCTGTACTCGCCGCGACTGACCAATTATCAGACCCAAGCAAAGTCGTGGGGGTGAGGCACATCCGAGGACGTAGTGATTTTGTACAATTCGTCGTTGTGTGCGATAGAGGCGTAGGGTTGGTAAGTCATTCGAGAGGTCGTCTTTTAGATGCATGTCTTTGAAATTTGCCTGTGAGGAAATTATGAAGATCAATTAGCTTAACACTATTGGAGGGGAGGGGGGGGGGTGGCACGGCATTTGCCTCACAACTCTACAGGTTGCCTATTTTAACGTGCCTCGTGAAAACTTAATGCTTCGAGAATGGTAAATCCGTGCTTTGAAAAATGGTATGTATCCTTGTGAATCAGGGTCCTGTTTCACGAAATTTTAACTAAAATAAAATCCAAATTTTAGTAATTTGATTGGACAATATTTGATTTAGTGCTTAGCTAATCAAAATTTTAAGTATCTACTAAAATTTGGATTTTATCTTTAGTTACAATTTCGTGAAACAGGACCCTGATTGCATGAGGAAATGTAACAAGTATGCCATTGGCAATCATTGTGATCAGTCAATGCCTCATTTGTACCCGTTTTAGCTCTTGAGCTTTCTTGTGTGGTGAATTAGGAACATGGGAGCACGAATCCTATCGATAATGGCATTACACGACCTTCAGTTCCCGAGTTAAGCCCCGCCCCAAAATTTATAGAACCGATAGGTCGTTCAACTTGTTTTTTCAGTTTTTGAGTTACCAAACTTGTCCAGAAACCTCTGAACGCGATATGGGCTACATTGCCGTCGTCAATAAAACATTAAAAATAGCCCCCGAAACAAAGATGGCAGATCTGGGTGCTTTCTGAAAGGATACAATGGCCCCTATCCTATGAAATAAAATTGGGGTTTAACGTTCTGTTATGCTCCGACTGGGCTAATGAAGACTATGTGCTATGAGGGAGGGGGGGGGGGAATTGTCCGGACAGGGCACTACGGCCTACTCTTGTATCGAATCCCAATTGCCAAGGGATCTTTTACTTGCACGCCAATGTATACACGGGACCTCGGGGTTTTCGTCCTATCCGAACGACTAGACAGCTGTCCTTATCGGGGGCCCCCCGTCCTGTACAACTGACGGGGGGGGGGGGGGTCCACGACGTAAAGTCCTAATGAACTTTCACGGTCAATGCAGGGATCGAACACCCGACCTCCAGGCTAGCGAGCCAGCGTCTTGCCAACTTGGCATTCGAAAATAAACGTTGGTTCACATTTGGTAAGACATTCACGAAATCTGTTTTTCAGAAGCTTTGAGGATCCGGGTAACTCTAGAACCTCAGGTTACAGAGCTCTACATATTTCACTATATGTCCCGTGATCCCCCCCCCCCCCCCCTTGCCTCTGGTATATAATGGGTTATTCGCCATTCCAGCTATATATGCAATTGACCCATTGTCGGGGTTACTGAAATAAATACCAACCCTTCCTCCAAAAACCATTTTTGAAAAGATATGTTGATCGTAGTCTCCAGATGGATTCGCCGTAAAATAAAACATAAATTGCCTGGATTCTCGAACATCTTTACCTATTTGTAAATCGAAAAGACCGCAAGCTCCATGTGGCGAATCAAGAATTAGGTGTAAAAATGATTAAAATAGCATAGAGGTAGAGCGTTATATTCATATTGCAGCATAACGATCAATCATTATGTAAAAGCTAAATAGGCCTATAGCAGGTTTATATTTTGGCTTCAAATTATTTTGAAATCGGTTCACACAAGCCAATAATCAACGGATTGACATGTAAAGATTTAATTAGACATTTGAAAACCAGGCCGAGTCTCGATTAACAAGTATCTTTGCTACGATAAACAATTTATGTCCACTTCAGTGATAATGTCGCTTAGAATAAATTGGAATTACATTTTCAATATATTCACGCTTCTTTATTTCGAACAATTATAGCAAGATAGTCGAGCTCTGTATCCGTATCTAAATCTTGCATAATACTTTTAAGGATAGCAACGCGTGGCTTCCCCTTGTTTGTAGTGCAGGACCCGAGAACCCGTTTATACATTGACGTGCACGTAAAATATCCCTTGGCAGTTGGAATTCGATATAAGAGTAGGCGATAGTTCCGCTGCCCGTCCAAAATTTCCCTCATAGCACACTGTATGGCGTATGCCTGTCTTCAGTAGCTCAGTCCGAGGAGAACAGTAGGATGTTAAACCCATTTCATTTCTTTCGGAATGTGTCGGTATCTTTGTCCAAGACAAAGTTGCTGTGTATACGTACTTAGGTTGGCTGTCTTATTGCAATACTTAAATCGTGCTTACGGGTATTTGGCATTCGGATAACATCGGTTAACCCGGTGAAGCGCCACGATATCCGGAGACACACCACAGGGTTGTACAGACGACACTATTCTTACAAGAATGCGGTCGAAACTACGACACTTTAGATTCTATGATCTAAAGTGCACGGGTTGGAACACCCAATCACTCTAATTTAATCCTCCTAGTGTAATGTATTCACACCTGCCTCATCAATGTGCCCATGGGTGACATATTGAGACGGAACGCGAGAATATCCGCGTAATTTAGTAAAACAAATCGGTAGTATGGAATCCGTCATTTTCAATAACATAAACCAAAAAACCAAAGTTATTTAAAGAAAATATTTATTTAAAACAAAGAATATTGTCTTCGGGAAGACCGTAATGAACGGATGTTTTCAAACGGAAATCTGGTAATCCATCCAACCACGTGCATCTGACCCGTTCCCAAACTACTTGCTGTTTGGGTTGTTAGTCTATCAATTTGATTTAATTGTCATTTTCCACACGCACCCTCCATAGTTCTATAGTTTAGCTTATTGGCCATCTTTAGATGTGTTCTATTTTCCTTATCCGTATCGGGTGTTTGTCGACCCGTAGCCAGTGTTGGACGTTCTCCCGGAACCGTAACCGTAACCTGCATTCGCCGTATTTATGGAACTATAACCGGTGTTAACCGCGCTACCTGAACGTGTATTTGCAGCGTAGCTGTTTGACCCTGCTGTGTTTGCCAGCGCCGCATATGCATTATTCAGGCCGTAAACACCATACACAAACTGCTCATATTCCGTCGATCCGTCTGGATACCCACTCGCATATTCACCCACTATGTAGCCTTGAAATTGACCATCTGGGTAACCGTAAGTACTCCCAGTGTTCGTGCTCGGCTGTGCATAAGCATTGTTATTTGATTGTGTCGTGCTTCCCCCGCCTGACGAATAATTGATGGTGTTACCGCTGGTAGGATAATAACCAGTCTGCGTTGTACTGCCACCAGACGGATAATAACCGGTGTTGCCAGTCTGCGCTGTACTGCCGCTTGTAGGATAATAACCAGTGTTGCCAGTCTGCGTTGTACTGCCGCTGGAAGGATAATAACCAGTGTTGCCAGTCTGCGTTGTACTGCCGCTGGAAGGATAATAACCGGTGTTGCCAGTCTGCGCTGTACTGCCGCTGGAAGGATAATAACCAGTGTTGCCAGTCTGCGTTGTACTGCCGCTGGAAGGATAATAACCGGTGTTGCCAGTCTGCGCTGTACTGCCGCTGGAAGGATAGTATCCTGTGTTAGTGGTTCCTGATGCTGTTGTCGGGAAATATCTGTTCGTATTGCTCGAACCAAACGTGGTTCCCCCAGTTGGATAATACCCCGTTGCGGTTGTTCCCCCTGCCGAAAAATACTGGTTGGTATTGCTTGAACCAGATGTGGTACCACTAGTTGGATAATATCCAGAGTTAACTACACTCGATCCCGACGAAGTGCTACCACCTGGATAATACCCGACATTAGTTGTACCGGATCCTGTGGACGTGGTGCCCCCTGTCGTAAAATATCTGTTCGCATTACCCGATCCAGATGTGGTGGTTCCAGTTGGATAATACCCAATATTAGTGGTACCAGACCCAGTGGATGTGCTGCCCCCTGTCGGATAATACCCAGCATTAGTGGTACCAGACCCAGTCGATGTGCTGCCTCCTGTCGAGAAGTATTGATTCGTTGTACCAGACCCCGTGGATGTGGTGGTGCCGCCAGCGGGGTAATTTATATAATTGGTGCCACTCGATTGTGTGCCGGTACTAGTTCCTGTCGGAAAATATACGTTCGTGTTGCTGGATCCTGTTCCTGTCGTGCCCCCACTTTGGAAGTATTTGTTATTAGTTGTTTGTCCAGCTGTACTCCCACTTCCTGTGGTGTACCCATATGTAGCTTGACGCTTGATGCGCATAAGATGATTCTCCGCCACGTTGACAATCTTCTGTCCTTCGACAATCGCCACAAATATGACTACGTGATAAACCTGAAACTATATAATGGTAATCTGGCTTTAATTGATCCTCAGAAAAACAGAAAGTTAAACCCCATTTCATCATCATTTGAACAGTTAAACAAAGGGTTTAACTTCCACTCGACACAGACTGGGTCATTTCGGAACTAACACATGGTAAATTTTATGCCAACAATTCGCTTGAATGTTGGACGGGGGGCCTGACAAGGACAGCTGTCTAGTCGTTAGGATAGGACAAAAAACCGAGGTCCCGTGTACACATTGGTGCGCAAGTAAAAGATCCATTGACACTTGGAATTCGATATAAGAGTAGGACGTAGTCCCGCTGTGTGGGCAAAATTTTACTCATAGCACACTAACTGTATGGAGTATGCCGGCCTCCATTAGCCCATTTCAGAGCAGAACAGTAGGACGTTAAACCCCATTTTCATTTCACAAATGTGCATCTAGTTGTCTCAAAATAATAAATCCTATTACATTCCATTACACAGTCACGATCGAGTAATATTCAGACAAAACGTAGAACATGCATAAATCATACCTCGTGTAGGGTGACCCACCATAAATAAATATCTCCATATATCTCCATATATCTCGACAATTACGCCACAATATTTATATATATGCCAAGCCTCATATCAGTTTCACACAATTATAGTCACTAAATAAACGGTCATGTTATACTTAATAAGCTATGACCATTAATCATCTATAAATAATAGACTGAAAACTGGTTCCAAGTGTCGTCCATAACATCCAGACACTTTTGAGTAAAAGATAGGTTACGTGCCCTTGTTTTGAAATTAGTCTCGCTTAACCAGTCTATCGACCATTCTACGTCTGATTGACAGGTCGGGATAATCAAGACTACTTTTTTACGAAACATAACAGAAAGCTATAACAAGAAATTGAATTTAGAAATAAGCACGTTAGGTAGCTCAACAATCGTTTTAAGAACCTTGTAAAAGTAAAATGAAACTACTGCTAGTATCATGTTCCGGTCTAACCCGAGTGATTCAGAGATATTATTTGTACTAAACCAAAAGATGCCGCTCTTAACGGTACAGTTAATGATAAAGCGATTTAAAAAAGTGAAACGAACGTAATTTCTAAATCTGCTGTAATAACCAAGAAGCTTAATTTTACTGCTATTCAAAATCGTCAACAATAATTTTTTTACGGCTGTAATAGTTGATAGATTTGTAGAGAATTGCACGTGCCATGGCTATTTATAGTATCATACTGTCAGAAAGTTGGTCTCGGCACGGCGAATGTGCACGCTTCAGTGGTAGTCTCGAACTATCAGCGGTGGACTTTATTTCTGTAGAGTACATGGGTCACCCTACCTCGTGAAAGGGAAGGAAAATGGACTATACTAGGGTTTACAGCATCAATCGAGTTTATCAAGACGGTTGTACACCATGCAGTGTGATGTGAGAAAAATTTCACTCAATTTCAAATGCTAGGGGTCTTTCACGTGCACACCAATGTGTACACGATTAGACACTGTTTCTTGTCAGTCGATCCTTCCTGCACTACGGTAAGCAATTTGGAAAATTCCGATGAAGTTTCACTCGACTCGACCCAGCGACCCACTGGGGCTCCCTCGTGTAATAGTTATTATTCAATGACACTTATTTCCATTAAAATTTAAATAATCAGATTAAACTTGAAAAATTTGAATATGTTGAATTCAATTTGACTACACAATATAAATATAATCAACTAAGTACTGGCCGGGCAATTGTAGAGCCTAGGGGCGCTTCATAATAGGAAGGTGGTTGGATGGCCGAATGGTTAGCGAGTGCGCGTTGTATTATAAGGTCTGTCCTTGAGTCAAGGGCGTGGTTTCGATTCTCTTGTACGTGGCGAAGAGTAGGGTCGCCTGTCCAACCTCGTGGGTTTTCTCCGGGTACTCAGGTTTCCTCCCACCGCTAAAGACCCTACGCGCAAGCGAATTATTGAAATACAATTGAAACGTATGTCAGTCCCGAAATGACCTATTTTGTTTCGAGGACGTTAAACCCCATCTCTCTCTCTCTTGCTCTCTTTCTCTCTGGCGCGCGCCCGTCATAATAGGGGTTTTTGTGAAAGTAATAAGTGGTAATTTTGTGCCACCATGCATATATATCGGCTCTAGTTACCTTTACTACAGTCCCGACAAACCTGAGCTGCATTCCCGGGTCCGTTCTAGTGTAACTGAGAACCCCGAATTACAATCCTGGCGCCGTCCTAGTGTAACCGACCGCCCTGAACTGCATTCCTGGAACCGTCCTAGTGTAACCGACAACCCTGAACCGCAGTCTCAGGACTGTCCTAGCCGTCCACAACGAACTGCTGTCCCGGGGACCTCCTAGTGTAACCGTCAATCCCGAACTGCACTCCTAGAACCGTCGTAGCCGACAACCCCAAACTACAGTCCCAGGACCGTCCTAGTGTAGCCGACAACACCGTACAGGCAAACGACAATCACAAATAAACATAGATATATGTTAGTATTTAGAATATTGTTATAAACATTGAAATACCTTGTTAATAATCAGCATCTTTACGAGTAGATAAATCTGTCATTTAAATGTCTATCCTGCTGTTTTAAACATTAATAAAATAACTTCACGTCGCCAGCTTTTATATTTATGTGATCACGAAAACTAAACCGCAATCAGAACAAAGGCTTGTTAAAGGGGCATAGCATTAAAAACAACTTTGGACTGAAATAAATGGGGTTTTACATTCTACTGTTCTCTACCGACTATGCTAATAAAGACTGCCACGAGATCGTTTACGTGCATGCTAATGTCCCATCCGAACGGGGGTGGGGGTGGATGGCCGGATGGTTAGCACGTGCGTGCTTTATCATAAGACCTGTCATTGAGTCAACTGGCGTGGTTTCAAATCCCCGGTTGTACGTGACAAGGAGTAGGGTCGCCGGTTTTCTCCGGGTCCTTCGGTTTCCTCTCACTGCTAAAGAACCCTACGCGCAAGCGAATTATTGAAATAAAATTAAACCATATGTTAGTCCCGAAATGACCTAGTTTGTGTCGAGTGGACGTTAAACCCCATTTCTCTCTCTCTCTCCTGGCCAGCGAGCCAGCATCTTCATTAGCCCAGTCCGAACAGAAAAGTAGGACGCTTGACCAATTTTATTTCATTTGGTATCGCCTTTCATAACAATAATATCCAGCTCTAAACAAAAATGTCGAGTCGCCCTCTGGATGAGGGATTAATGTGGTACGCGGGGCCCGGACTTACGAATTCGGAGAAAGGGGTGATCTAGTTTAGTTTCAATAGCTCCGCGTGCAGCAGACACGAAGGCCAATAAACCCTATTTCATTTCATTTACTTACTTCACGTAAGATAAAAAAATCAAAAATATATTCTATGCATTGTGGACACAATAATAGAAATGAAATGAGAGAAATGGGTTTTAACGTCCCAATGTTGTGCTCCAACTGGGCTAATGAAGACGGGCATACGCCATACAGCGTGCTATAAGGGAAATTTTGCCAGGGCAGCGGCATATCGAATTCCAACTGACAAGGTATCTTTTACTTACACACCAATATATACAGGGGGCTTCGGTTTTTCGTCCCGTCCGAACGACTACGACTAGACAGCTGGCCCTGTCAGGACCCCGGTACTGGCAAGGGGAAACCACGTCGGAAAATCCGGATGAACTTTCTCGGCCAATGCAGGGATCGAACATGCGACCTCCGGGCTAGCAAGTCAGCGTCTTACTCGCGTGGATCCGACAATAACAGAATTAATGCCATGCCCTTTAAGGATTATTTACTATGACTAACAAGTTTTCTCTTAGTCCGGTTTTATAGAAAATTCAATTTGGTGATTTAACGACGCACGTACATTTTAAATAACAAAACAAAATATAATATAGCCTAATTAGTTAGATATAAATACGGTATTCTTCTAACATGATGTTCACGTCTTTACATCTTTTCTTGATTTGAGAACAATACAGATGTGTTTTCTAACAATCAAGATTTTGTTTTTTTAATATCCTAATTACACGCATTAATTTATAGAAAAAATGTACGTGCCATGTAGAAAAGGGCGGGTGTCTCTTCGTTATTAATATTTTTAGTATTGTCCAATTTATTGTAGTATTTGCTGAGAATATATGTTTATTTTATAAATTCTGTGAAGATATTTCGAGAAATTATCCAATTTTGGCTCCTTCTATGTTGTCAAACGGTTCAATGATATGGGGTTTAAATGTTCTACTTTTCTGCTGCAACTAGGCTAATATATGCCATACACCTAATGAACTTTCCTGACCAACACCGGGATCGAACACGGAACCTCAAGGTTAGCGAGGCAACGTGTTAACACACTGAGCAACGGCGGCTCTACTCTATGGAAGACCAAACAGCTCTTTATTCAGTGTTCTTAGTTAAACAAATATACATTTTACAAATCGGATATGACAAATGTCTGATTTGTAAAACAAATATTGAATTTAAGATAAAAATGTTAATTTTACTGTACAAATGTCGAAATACGACAACAAATGAAGAAATAAGAATTGAAGACTATTAATTACGAAGTAAGAATTAATTGCACTGAATAAAGAGCTGTTTGGTATTCCATACTACTTAATGGTTACACTCGCAATGTGATGTTGCAGACAATTTAACAAAGGTAGCCCCTATGCAACAATATCATGGCCTATGTCTAATATTGTTTCCAAATTCATTAAAAAGTTTTATTAGATAGCCAGGACATACTACGGAAATAGAAGATATCTCGATATATTAAAATTACTATAGAGACTGGTCATTTACCGTTTTGTCTTCTATATAAAGTGATTTCAGATGGGATGAACTAGAGAATCACCACAACACTGATCAGACATAGGGTTTATCATACAGATAAACTTCTGAATTAGGTTATATTGTCTGTTCTATAAAAGACATGGTTTCTTTTTATTTTCAATTGTAGTCTTTCCTGTGATATACGTGATTAGAGCCACGCTAATCTAATATTACATATATCAGATAGAGAGAGAGAGAGAGAGAAGAGAGAGAGAGAGAGGGAGAGAGAGAGAGAGGAGAGAGGGAGAGAGCCACGAGGTTGGACAGACGACCCAAATCCTACATATATCAGACCTAGTCGGGTTAAACCTGGGGTATCGCAAACATCTAATGTACTATTACCAGACTACGTATGTAGTGGACGCTTACGGCTAGCACCCGGATCCATTCACTTAATTTGATATGTTCGTTTATTTGTGATTTCAGCGTATTGCGTCTTGCCCGTAGATGTGTTTTGTGTAAATTACGTGCGGTGCAGCCCCCCCCCTCCCTGCACTTACTAATAGAGAGTCGCAGCAATCCAAATAGGCTGCATCCTCCCGCTTACTGCACGTATTATTAGAGTTTTAGCCATTCGTACTGCAGAGTGTTCTCGTTGTTGGGCTTTATTCTTATTTGCTCACTACGCTTTATTTATTATTTTTTAAAAGCATTTTCCGAAATTCTTTCTGGACTATCGTCCTTAATATTGTTAAAATGTTGGACGTTCTAACTCGTGACAGTAAAGTTTTGCGTGTGGCTTACTATTATAGAGCCTCAGTTATACGATCTATACTATTCAAAAAAAGTAGGGGATATTTGATTTTGGGGGCATAATACTAAAATATGCAAATGACTACGAAAAAAGTCACTATAGAACCTAACAGAAGAAACATTTCCAGTTACATGTGACGCCCAAACGCACCAATAGCTACCGCATGGAATGCAGGTGATGCTTGGGATCATCATGGGGGTCCAACCCAAGATTTGCAGGACTCCGACTTTGAATGTTACAGTCATTGTGGCATTGAATTCCAGGGTGGAAACATCAGTTTAATTGTTTTAGTGACCAGAAAACAAATTTTGATATGCGTCGGCTTACCCAAAATGAAAGGTTACGTGCCCTTGGCATGCTACAGATCGGCACAACACAGGCGGTTGTGGCGCGGACGATGAATGTTTCTCAGTCTGTCATAAGCAGGCTGTTTTCCAGATACCGTGATACACAATCTGTACAGGACAGACCACGCTCAGGTCGACCAAGGGCGACAACTCAAGCCCAGGATCGATTTATCCGTACCTTGGCCTTGAGAAATCGTGTCATCACAGCAAATCAGATCAGCGCTCGTCTTCAAACAGACACTGGTGTGAGAGTGAGTGGCCAGACGATTCGGAATCGACTGCATAGGGGTCACCTTCGCGCCCGACGTCCTCGCGTGATCCCTTGTTTGAGAGATCATCACATTCAGGCAAGACGTCGTTGGTGTAGGGATCGTCAACACTGGGATAATCGACGCTGGAGCAATGTGATGTTTTCAGATGAGTCAAGGTTCACTGTTGATTTTTTGGACAGACGTAGGAGGGTGTGGCGTCGTCGAAACGAGCGCTTCCAAGACGTTAACGTCATCAGACATGATCGATTTGGGGGTGGTTCTGTTATGGTGTGGGGAGGCATCACTGTTGCTGGAAGAACGGCTTTACATGTTGTTGCAGGGCGTGTTACAGGCCAGTACTACCGGGACAACATCTTGGCAGTCCATGTTGTGCCGTTCGCACGACGTCATGGCCGCCGTTTCATCTTCCAGGATGACAACGCAAGATGTCACAGGGCCAGGATCGTTACAGGTTACCTCCAACAACAGAACATCACCACATTACCTTGGCCAGCACTGAGTCCCGACCTCTCCCCCATCGAGCATGTCTGGGACATGCTTGGACAGAGGTTACGTCAACGTCAACAACGTCCTGCCAATGTCCAAGAACTTGCTGCTGCGTTGCAACAGGAATGGGACAATCTGGACCAAAATGATCTTAGACGTCTCATTAGGAGTATGCCACGTCGGATCAATGCTTGTTTGGCAAACAGAGGAGGATTTACCCGTTACTGACTTGGTTGTGATGCTGTGGTAACTTTGCTGTTTGACCCCGGGTATCATTTTACCCTTATAATGGTCAGTCTGTGCCTTACTTAGTCTAACGATCATTTGGAATAAATCGATGAATGTGAACTTCATTTCATTTTGTCATTTGTTTCTTCGTCAGTTTCATTAGGTGACTTTAATAACACTTAAAAATCAAATATCCCCTACTTTTTTTGAATAGTATATGATCCACATAAAAAATAATTTTATATAAGACACACGGGTACGTTATTTATACAATGGGGATATTTACACATGACACAAGAGTAGAAAGTCGTGTTTACGATGGGAATATTTAAACATGAAATTCTTTATAATTATGACACGTATAGCCGTCTATGCTATATATCTTACATTGTTCCAATATACTACTATTGTTCTATAGATGATAAAACATATTTACTACAGTATAAAATACATTCAATTAAATTAAAATTTATTAGTCTCTATCATCCAGAAAAACATTCTACGAATATTAGCCTGGATGCGTTGTCAGCATTTGAGAATAATAGGTCATTGGCTAGATTATCCAGTCTTTTACATTATCCTAAACAAAGTCTAAGGGTCTAAGGGGGTAATTAATCCTAAAACAAGAGGTCAACGCCCATGAAATTAATTTAAGAATGCCATTTCAGAAAATCCATTTGATTGCATTGCCAGTTCTATATCCACCACTCTTAATTATTTTATTGTAAAATTTCTCTCTTTATGGGCCATATATATGGTATTTTGAAATTAATCCTAATTCGTCGTCACGATACACGTTTGTTTATAATAATGCTAGAATTATGGGATTTATTGCGGGAAGGGACGCAACTCTTACTTGACTTGGCCAAATAAACTGGATAATTAACCACATAAAAAACCAAACTCACGGTTACGCATGGGTAATGGAACTTTTCGTCAAATATTAACAACGGTCGCAGACCCTCCGTACGTTGAAGACTAGGATGTTCTGGTTGATCGAGACTAAGAATGTATAGCATACAGGATTAGGTGTGTGATAGTTAAATAAATTTGTAAAAAAAACATGTTACCAAGGAAACTGTCATATCCCAATCAAAATGATTTCACAAATTACCATGTCCATTTCTAGCACCAGAAAGCGCGTTTAACTGATTAATCAAATGAGCCTTAGTTTGAAGATACATAGTCCTGGCGCTATTGGCAGCCATTTCACTGGTGTCTCGTTTAGGTGGAATCGGCGTGGTATTTAATTGTGCAGCTTGCCCCTGTGTGAACGGGACACGCCTATTTTGCTGTGTAGCTTGTTCCTGTGAGAACGGGTCACGACTATTGAAATTTTGCTGTGCAACTTGCCCCTGTATGGACGGGACACCTCTGTTCATATGTGGGTGTGTAAATGGGACGCGCCCCTTGCTTTTTTGTTCTGCAACGTTTTCTTGTGGGAACGAGTTGCGGCCATCTATCGCAGTTGGTGCAATAAACTTTCTGTGATATGACGCACCTGGATTTTGTGATACGGGCCTTTCTTGGGGAGTAATGATCGGCTCTTTTCCGGTAACACTACCCGCGGGAGTAAATCGCTCAGCCCCATATTGCTTGAGTCGTGGATTATTATTAGAACGGACCGTTCCACTGACAGGTGGTCTAAGTTGGTAGCTAGGAACATCTACTGCTACCCTATCATTGAAATATCTTTGTCCACTGCCGTTGGTCTTATCATTAGCGTTCTTATTCCTGTTGTATCCCACAAACTGCAAAAGTATAGCTGCGCAGTTAACCACCTTTCCATTCTCCGAATATTGCTGAAATCCATATAACTGTTGCACAAACTGGCCCTGATTGGATCCGTAATTTGCAAAACCGACAGCTGCCGCCTGCAGTAGCTGGCCAAGAGCTGTAGATGCTGGAACCCCAGAATTGACCCCGTATCCTGCCACGTTGTGGGGTTCTGAAGCCAATTTTGACATACCTGATCTTATGACAGTCGACATGGTTGAATAGCTAGCTTTGCCGGAATATGGCTTTTTATGTGAATTAATCTGAACAGAATGTTTACCATAAGGACTGGTGGAAGGCGCAAAAGAACCAGGGAAATCATCATTATTGAACGGTTTGGGATGCATCTGTTGAGGTCGGATACCAAGAACATTGGCATTAGTAATCATTGTGTTTGGGACTTTGTAGTTATTCCCCTTAGATATCATCTGACTGTTCAAATTGTGATTTTGTCCACCGTTAGCTACGGTATTAATAGGTTTGCAGTTATTTCCCTTAGATAACGTATGGCTGCCAAACACATAACGTTGGTCATTATTCGCCATGGTGTTACTCTGTTGGTAGTTATTCCCCTGAGTTTGTCCGTCATACACACTACCATGTCCTTTATAAGAAATGGTATTGATGGGTTGGTAGTTATTTCCCTTGGATAACATTCGATTGTTCATACCACTCCCTCCCGCCTTATTCAATATGGTGTTAACAGGTTGGTAATTATTCGATATGGTGTTAATATGCCGGTAGTTATTTCCCTTGTATAACACTCGATTGTTCATACCACTACCTTGTGCCTTATTGGATAGGGTGTTAATATGCTGGTAGTTATTTTCCTTGGATAACATTCGATTGTTCATACCTTGTGCCTTATTCGATAGGGTGTTAATATGCCGGTAGTTATTTCCCGTAGACCAAATCTTATTTTTTATACGACTGTCTTGTCTCGTATTAGGCATGGTGTTATTCGTTTGGTAGTTATTCCCCTTAGACCACAACTGATTGTTCTGACCACTAACTTCTACTGGAAATGTGTTAATAGCTTGGTAGTTATTTCCTACAGACCACATCGGATTGGTTAGGCCACCGCTTTGTGCTTTATTAGGCATTTCATTAATAGCTTGGTAGTTATTCCCCTTAGACCACATCTGACCTTTTACACCACCTCCCCGGACTGTGGTGCTCTGATTCATTGCGAGAACGTCAGTGCCATTCGGTTGTTGCCGAACTCGTGTGTTAACCGCAATATATCCCGCGGGCCTGTATGTGGCAATATTTTGAGATCGATACAGGTTATGGTTCGGTACGATATTTTTAACTTGTGATATATAGGGTTGCTGTTGACTATTGCTAATAGACGTCCCATATCCCACGAGACTACCATTTTGTCCAGTGCCAGTTCTGTTAACTTGGGTCTGTTGAGAGTCTATACTAGTCCCATAGCTGTTGCTTTGTTGAGTGGTACTCGCAACTTTTGTGGGTGTTGAATAGCGGTTACCTTGCTGTCTGTTAGTCGCAACATTTTGGGGTGTTGAATTGCTTTTTGAATAACTGTTACGTGGCTGTCCGCTAGTCGCAACGCTTTGAAGTGTTGAATTACTGGCTGTATAGCCGTTACGTACTGTTTCTCTGCTAATCGCAACGTTTTGAGGTTTTATGTTACGGCTTGAATAAACGTTACTCGGCTGTCCGCTACTGGGAAAGCGTTGGGGTGTTAAATTACTTGTTCTATAGACGTTCCTCGATTGACCGCTATTTGCTAAGAGTTCGGGTGTTAAATTACTTGCTGCATAGGCGGTACGTGTGTGTCCGCTGGTCGCAACGTTTTTTGCCCTTATATTACTGGTTGCGTAGACGTTACTTGACTGACCCCTGCTCCCAACAGTTTGAGGTCTTGCATTAATAGTTGCATAGCTGCTACGTGGTTGTCCGCTAGTCGCAGCGCTTTGAGGTTGTATGTTACTAGTTGCATAGCTTCTACGTGGTTGTCCGCTAGTCGCGACATTTTGGGATTGCATATGACTGGTTACATAAACGTTACGTGGTTGTTGGCTATTCCCAACATTTTGGGGTTTCATATTACTGGTTGTATAGCCGCCGCTAGTTGCAATGCTTTTGACTTTCATATTACTGGTTGCGAAGACATTTCGTGGCTGTTGGCTAGTCGCAACATTTTGGGGTGTTGAATTACTGGCTGTATAGCTGTTACGTGTCTGTCCGCTAGTCGCAACGTTTTGAGGTTTTATGTTACTGCCTGCATAAACGTTACTCGGCTGTACGCTACTGACAAAGCGTTGAGGTGTTGAATTACTGGTTCTATAGACGTTACTCGACTGTCCGCTATTTGCGAAGCGTTGAGGTGTTGAATTACTTGTTGCATAGGCGTCACGTGCCTGTCCGCTACTCGCAACGCTTTGGGGTTCTAAGTTACTGGTTGCATAGACCTTACTTGGCTGTTCGCTAGTCGCAACGCTTTGGGGTTTTATATTATTTATTGCATACGTGTTACTTGACTGTCCATTATTCGGAACGCTTTGTTGTCGTACATTATTAGTTGCATAGCTGCTACTTGTCTGTCTGCTAGTCGTAACGCTTTGTGGTCGTACATTACTAGTTGCATGACTGCTACTTGACTCTCCGCTAGGTGCAATGCTTTGGGGTTGTATGTTACTAGTTGCATAGCTGCTACTTGGTTGTCCGCTAGTCGCAACGCTTTGAGGTTTTACACTATAGTTTGTATAGCTGTGACTTGACTGTCCGCTAGTGACAATATTTTGAGGTTTTATATTGGCTGCATAGCTTTTACTTGACTGTCCGCTTGTCGCAACGGCTTGAGCCCTTTTATTGTTGATTGCGTAGACGTTACTTGGCTGTAAGCTACTCCCAATACTTTGAGGTCTTACATTAATAGTTGCGGAGCTGTTACGTGGTTGTCCGCTGGTCGCAACGCTTTGGGGTTGTACGTTACTAGTTGCATGGCTGCTACGTGGCTGTCCGCTAGTTGAGGCGCTTTGGGGTTGTATGTTACTAGTTGCATAGCTGCTACGTGGTTGTCCGCTAGTTGAGGCGGTTTGGGGTTGTACATTACTAGTTGCATAGGTGCTACGTGGTTGTGCACTCGTTGCGGCGCTTTGGGATTTCATATTATTGGTTGCATAAACGTTACGAGGTTGTTGGTTATTCCCGACGCTTTGGGATTTGATATTACTGGTTGTATAGCCGTTAGGTATATATCCGCTAGTCACAATACCTTTTGGGTTTATATTACTGATTGCATAGCTGCTGTTTGGCTCTCTGCTAGTCGCAACGCTTTGGGCTTTTATATTACTGGTTGCGAAGACATTACGTGGCTGTTGGCTAGTCGCCACGTTTTGGGGTTTGGTATAGCTGTTACGTGTCTGTCCGCTAGTCGCAAGGCTTTGGGGTCTTGCATTACTTGTTGGGTAGCTCATGCTAGTCGCAACACTTTGAGATTTTATATTATTGGTCGTATAGAGTTTACTTGGCTGTCCGCTAGTCGTCGCAACGCTTTGGGGTTGTATAATGCTGGTTGTGTAGAGTTTACTTGGCTGTCTGCTAGTCGTCGCAACGCTTTGGGGTTGTAGATTGCTGGTTGTATAGCGCTGACTTGGCTGTCCGCTAGTCGTCGCAACGCTTTTGGGTTGTAGATTGCTGGTTGCGTAGACGTTACTTGTCTGCCCGCTAGTCGCAACGTTTTGGGCTTTACCTGTGGCATAGCTATTACTTGACGGGCTGCTACTAACAAGGTTTTGGGGTGTTGAATTACTTGTTAAAAATAGCCCTTTTGTGTTAACTTTTCTAACTCCTTCAACATTTGACTGAGGACTTGCTGTGTTTACTAAAGGCTGTATCTGACTACTACTGGGTTTATCTCTCCTACCAGTAGATTGGTGTTGACATGATGTTATTGATAAACCAACAACCAGACATACCAACATCTAAAATAAACAAACACGTGTATTATCTCTCTTACAAAATAAATCAACTGAAATGTTTTTTTTTATGACTAACCTTTAGCTGAAAAAATAAATCTAATGAAATGGCCTTTTCTACGTCCTACTATCTTGCACTGACTGGTCTAATGAAGACGTGCGTTCGCGTACGCCATATTGTGTACGCCATATTGAAGCATTATTAACGATCATCTTATGAGTATGAGTTCAGAGAGAGAGAGAGAGAGAGAGATGGTGTTTAACGTCCACTCGACACAAACTAGGTCATTTCAGGACTAACATATGGTTCAACTGTACTTCAATACTTCGCTTGCGCGTAGGGGTCTTTAGCAGTGACAGGAAACCGGAGGAGCAGGAGAAACCCAACGAGTTTGGACAGGTGACCTCACTCACATGCAAGCGGGGAATCGAAACCACTTGACTCAATGACAGATCTTATGATTGAACGCGTTCAGTGAGTAAGTCGTTGACTGAAAAACCTTAAGGTTCTGTGTTCGATACCTGTTTGTGGCCGAGAAAGTTCAGTTGAAGTTGTGTTTTGTTCTTCACGTGATAGAGAATTATATTAAAGATTTAAATCCAAAACGAGTGGTCACACATTGCCGTGCACATAAACGCTATAAAAGACGGCCGTAGCGCCGCTATGCGGGCAAAATTTCCGTCATAGCACGTTGTATGGCGTATGCCCGTCTCAATTAGCCCAGTCTTAGCAGAACAGTTGGACGTTAACCCCCATTTCATTTCCGATGTTCAACCCACTCACCCAGTTCCCCTCATTTTTCATCTGAAAGCAAATGATGATTTGTTGCGACGTTCCCTAACGTTAAAGGACAATCCGATTTTAAACTAGAAAACAATATGGAACATGCTCCTGTAACACCAGTAACATGGTGTTTCGGCTGTGTAACATTGACCTACACGCACATGTCATTAATTTAAATTACATAAATTAACGTAAGTTGGTGTTTCAACAAACAATTCTTTTATACTGTTTGAATGGCTTTTATTAATTGAACACATTAAAAATCAACACAACAGTTCTATGGTTAACAATTACTGTATTTCTTTTAAAGCTACGTTACAACAATGATTTTCTTGTCGTTATTAAGGACAGTATCATTGCTTGATAACGACAAGAGAATCATTGTTGTAATAGAAATACAGTAATTGTTATCAATAGAACTGTTGTGTTTATTATTAACAATTCTTTTATTCTATTTATTTTTTTATTAAAAAAAAACCCTTGTATTTACATTTATGTTTACAATTTACAAGAATGTTAAATACATTAATATTTAATAACATGCATTTCCGTATAGAAATCTTACTAATTACAAGGGTTCCTACAGGGCACAGCTATAAAAGAAGGTGGGTCAATGTTAAATTGATATCCATCGATGGGGAATGGGTGTGCAAGAGGTTCTAGGAATCTATTAATTCTTAAAAAGATATTGACATTTATTTTATGATCAGTAGTGGAATACCGCGTTTTATCAGTGAAATAAAAGTGTTATTCCACTGGCTAGCAGTAGTCCATGTTGTTTTTACCTAAAATGATTGTAAAATCATAAAATAAATAGAAAATTTGTCGTTTTGTCGTGAATAACATATTTTATTTCATCTCTAAGCAAGAAAACGTTTATATTTCACTCATGCAACGCATTCATGAAAATATAAGTTTTCTTGCTTCTCGATGAAATAAAATATGTTATTCACTCTAAAACGACAAATATCCTCTATTTATTTCTAAATAGTTCCGGAGATATTTCTATCTCCAGTTTAGAATTTCCTCAACACGCCCATCTCGTTAATTTTAATTACATTAATTATAATAATAAATACACTTATGAACAGGATCTTCAATACATTAATTATATAATAAATACACTTATGAACATGATCTTCAGTACATTAATTATATAATAAATACACTTATGAACAGGATCTTCAGTACATTAATTATAATAATAAATACACTTATGAACATGATCTTCAATACATTAATTATTTAATAAATACACTTATGAACAGGATCTTCAGTACATTAATTATATAATAAATACACTTATGAACAGGATCTTCAATACATTAATTATTTAATAAATACATTTATGAACAGGATCTTCAGTACATTAATTATATAATAAATACACTTATGAACATGATCTTCAATACATTAATTATTTAATAAAGTTACGAACAGGATCTTCAGCGTAGTTTCAATACTAATTGACGGCTAGACGCCCATGTTATTAATTTTAATTACATTAGTTAAAGATGAAGAGCTGGTAGTTCTCACTATAAAAGTTAAAAACTAGATGCTCTAAAGGGGATATGCTGAAACTTTCAGACAAATTGATACAATCTAAGCCGAGAAAAACATATTTTAAAATCACTGTAGCCTCGATTGTCATTGTTACCGCTGTCACGATAATTAATCACCAATGGGCGTCGAACAGTAGAGCGGATTCAAATCCAATGAAAATCGGATACATAAGATGGCATCGAGAGTTAATTATGGTCTTGTCATGTTAATAAATGTCTAATTAATAGTTTATATAACATTTCAGGCCTAAAGAAAGACGGTTTAATCTCACTGTGCCCCCCAATCAACTGGTGTTATAGGGTAGTGGTGTGAAAATTTAAGTAAACAAAGGATTATAGACTGTATCCTTATTAGTACTGTTCACCTAGTTAAAATTTAATTATTTTAATGATTAAAATATATAAGTTAAGTTCACGTGTCATTGGTTAACGAGTATCTTAAATATTATTCACCTACCTTTCATTCAGACAGTACTCATAAATCAATCAAATATATGATTAGAAACTCACTATCATTATATAAGGATACATGTATTGATACATGTATTTGTTGTTACTTTTATGAAATTTATTGTGAATAAAGTTGTTAATTAGTTTAAACCTAGTAGTTTAAAAAAAAACAGACTATACTTTTAACACCATTGTATTCGATAATACCCTTGCTTGATTAATCCTCCCATGAGAACAATAGCAGGGGGCACAGTGAGATGTCCCCAGAAAGACCTACAACAGGCAGGTTTAGCTCTTGCATAATGTATGTTGAAGTATTACCCAATAAAAAAAACTATGAACAAGGTGTTTATCTTAGCTGTGATGGTATTACAATAATGGTGGAATTGTCGGATTGCAACAATTCCCCTACAGACCTATGACATGAATTTTAATAACATTAATTACATAATAATTAAACTTACGAACGAGGTGTTCATCTTGGTTGTTATATAATTCACAATGTCAAGTTTGTCATACTGACTTTTATATATTCATTTAATATAAACATGTGCGTATTGTAGTTTATATTCAACTTGACTTGAAACTAATTAAAACACTTAACATTCACGTTACGCACCCTGGAGAGACGAAACGACCTGCCAGCTTAACTGTCACGAACCTCATCAAAACCTACCCCAAACACCAAATGCATAGAGAAAAATATTTCTTTTCATGATGTAAAGATTTATGCTTTTTTAAATAATTTATTAATCTTCGAAATGAACTTTTTTTTAAAATCTGCCTTTTGTTTCCAGCCAACAAAAACTTCAAGTTCAGTATAAGCTGATTTCCGCCTTGCAAGACACGAACACACTGCTACAACCAATTCCACGTAAATCAAGTCAAACGTCGCGGTGGTGATTCAGGGTGCATTCGTGCTATCTCATATTGTCTATTGTAAACATACAAGCCACGGTAACTCAACGAGCGTGGCACTGACTCGTTAAACATGAGGTCAAGGGTAGTTTAATTCCGATGTTGACGTGGGATTTAGAGTCCACTCGACACTAATTAGGTAATTTCGGGACTAACACGTGGTTCAATTTTATTTCAATAATTCGCTTGCGCGTAGGGCTTTTAGCAGTTGAAGGAAAGTAGAGTATCCGGAGAAGACCCACGAGGTTGTACAGGCGACCCTACTACTCATTGTCACGTACAACCCGGGAATCCAAACCACGCCAGCTGATCCAATGACAAGCCTTATGATTCAACGCGCACGCTTTCCCCCCCCCCCCCTGTTGATTTACAACGTTCCTCAAAATTTCCCATTCCGTCTAGTTTGTCACGCAAATACCCCAACGCGTTCGGACGAGATAAGAAAAGGACTACCGCCTGGGTGTGCCTAAATGAACGATGGTCAGTTGGAACTCGATGTCGAATAGTGGGAACGTCGGTTGATGCAGCATCCATCTTTCAATTTTAATATTACCTGCATCTTGTATTGGTCAGTTTTATAGATACATTTGGTATTAAATTTGTCATGAAATATTTGTATTTTTAAAAATTTGTGAGAACGCGGCTTATTGGGTAAGACGTTGGCTCGCTAATCTTGAGGCCCCTGTGCGATCCCTGCCGTGACCGAGACACTTCATCAGGATTTTCCGGCGTGGTCTGGCAAGAGTCAGGGTATAGTCGTTCGGATGGCTTGTAAAACAGTAGGACGTTAAATCCCATTTGACTTCATTTCTTTTCCCCACAAACTAGAAGTAGTATCAGGTACCAAGGCCAAAAATGGGGGGAAAGGTAGAGGGTCGAATGGTTTAACGCAATCGCTCTAGATCTTAAGATCTGTCATTGAGTTAAGTGATGTGGTTTCGATTCACAGTTTCTATGAGATAAAGAGTAGAGCCGATGAATATCTCTACACACAAGCGACTTATTGAAATACACTAACATAGGGTTGTCAAGTGGAAACTCTCTCTCTGACAAAGGACACCGTATATGTATATGCATTCGGATGGGACAAAAACTGATGTCCCGTGACTACATTGACGTGCACGTAATAGATCCCATGGCAGTTGGAATTCGATCCACAGATCCCCATCATTACCCAACCTTACCCCTCCCCCCCCCTCCGGTCTCTCTCTTCTCTTAAAATAAATTTAATGAGTTGGAATTCGATCCATAGATCCCCATCATTGCCCAACCATACCGCTCTCTCTCTCTCTCTCTCGCTCTCTTAAAAGGAAATTTGGTGAGTCGATTTTGGTACCTTTGCCTAACATTCTAGTAATTGCCATTGCCAACATGCCAAGCCAGGGAATTATAGTTACTACAGTTTTTTTTCAAGGGAAATTTATAGTAATAAGCCTGCTGTAACTAACACAATGAATGTTTATATTTCAAGATATTTTTCAACGGAGAATTTATAAATTTCTTCCTTTTATTTGTTGTATAATATAACATGATGGTGTTTTCCTGGCTGAAATACGTGATGCTTAGCGTCTGATACTAGGTGTGGTGCTGCAGGAATCACACCATATAAGGCCTGAAATAGAATAAAAAAACAATACAAAGGTGCATGAGGCTGCAGGGTGCATTTACAAATGATTTCCGCCTTGGAATATAAAGACGCCCAACTTGCCTCTAATTATTATTTTACTTACAGCGGTTTCCCCGACATTTATGTGGCAGGCTTTGAAAACATGAGACTCCTACTAGTAAGTAATTTGCTATTAATTATTGCTTATCTAGAGATATTTTAAATAGCCATGACAGTAATCAACCCATCTATAGGGTTTCCCAACTAATGTTAGATTTTGGTTGTCTAACAGACAAGGATGTATGGAACTCGTTCAGTGATGCGGGGGGGGGGTGTATTTTGTAGCTTATCATTTTTATCGACTTATCAAGGAGGAATTTACGAAATCATTTTTATGTTTTACCCTTTTTATATTACTCCTCATTAGTATACAAATTAAACATAAAAAGACCATAATCAACTCTCGCTGACATCGGATTCTCCAGATTTGAACTAGATTAAAACGTTTCGCCATTTAAAAATTTAATTTAAAAATGGGAAGGCGAGGCTAAGTCTTGAATATATCAGTATCATGGTTACCACAATGCACACATCTTGTGATAACTTAACTCAGAATGACGTAATTTGAATGAAATTTTCAATATTTTCATTTTACATTATTATCTATTTTTGAGCTATTATAGCAAGAATGGTCGGCTCTTTATCTAAATCTTACATAATGTATCCTTAATTAAATCAACCTGTCCATAATACCATATATTATGTATTGGACGTTAAATTTGTAATAAACAGCAACAACAAATCGTTTGAAATGCTTTGATTGGTTGCCTACTTAATGTCAAAGTTAATAATTCGCATGCGCGTAAGGGTCTTTAGCAGTGGGAGGAAACCGGGGGACCCGGAGAAAACCCACGAGGTTGGACAGGCGACCCTTTATATTGCGGTAACAGTACTAGACGAGAATCGGTTAATGAGGAATTATGGAAGATTAGATAAAGAGCTGGTAGTTCTCACTATAATAGTTAAAACATAATGTAAAGGAAATATGCTGAAAATTTCAGTCAAATTACTTCAATCTAAGCCGAGAAAACCTTATTTTAAATTCACTGTAACCTCGATTGTCATTGTTACCGCTGTCACGATAATTAACAAAGTCTGGATTATCCATGTTTGCGGTTAAACATCAATGGACGATACACAGCAGATCGGATTTAAATCTAATGAAAATTGGGCACATAAGATGTCATCTAGAGTATATTATGGTCTTTTCATGTTAATAAATGTTTAATTAATAGTTTATATAACATTACAGACCTAAAGAAAGACCTGCAATAGACAGATTTAGCTCTTGTATAATGTATATTCAAACATGTCGTGTTTTGATTGGATTAATTTTATGACAATTATGATAACGTTATTGGGATATATCCAGAACACTTACATCGCAGGAGGCACGGTGTTGCGATGACACCATGTCGCATTACTAACGTATTTATTGTCTAAAAATATTGTGATAAAACTTTCGGTTTTTTATGGTAATATCTGTACAACTGTGCGGGAAATCAAAGTTTCAATAACAACATTTTTAAATAATTTGTTTTACAGTCTGATTAAAATACAGATCTATATTTCGTTTCGTTTTTTATACTTTCGATGGTCTACACTACATGAAAATCTGGCAAGTTATAGTAGGAGTTCACTTCAGGGGTCAAACGAGCGGCGTTTGAGCCAATGACAACTCTTCCAGATCCTAGTGTAGTAAAGACAAGTAAAACAAAATTTTGAACTTTAAAAAAACCGAAACGAAATAGGATCTGTGTTTTAATCAAATTGTTTGTTTAATAGTTTGATATTAGAATTCATATGCGATATTGGTGGCTTAGTATTTATTAGATATTTGTGTCACATTTTATCTCTTGCAAATGCAGCCGGATACAAACGATATATATTCCTGTCACCGACTGTGAGTGTAGCACAATCGCTTCTGGCCACAGATCACTAATGATTTCCCCATTGACTTTAATGTTAATTCTCGTCTCTTAGACCGGCTCTAACTTTTTCCCAATTTTTCGTTGGGTAGAACGCTTTCTACCACAGATGGGGCAACATGTGGCAAACTCTTGCCCAAAAGTATGTATGAGCTGAAATAGTAGCGCCCCCGGTTAGATTTACTAATACTAGATGTTTTATATTTTAGATCAGTCTGTTATGTGCCAGTGCAGTTGCACTAGGCGAGAAATTTAACATGAAGAAGTTACTTTCTCGTTTGAAGCGACAGACCAATGGTGGTAGTACTTCAAGTGTTGCGGCTAATACAGACGCAAGCGATGGTGATTACCATTATTATGATTATCAATACGACGGTACGAACGGTAACGATTACGTTTACGGTGAATGGAATAACAATGCCAACAGTTATTCAGCTGATTCTAGCGCGTCACAGGTCGGTACCTCAGCCAATAGCATCAATGGAGAAGCCACTGATACAAGCACGTATGACCAAAATACTATTGCAGCATTAAACGCGGCGTACGCTGCCCAAACCATGTACAACGGGAATACTGGTAATGCATATCCCCAAAATGCGTACAATGGTGGTAATGCATATGCCCAAAATAGTTACGGTAGCAACGCATATCCTCAAAATAGTTATAGTGGCAACGCCTATCCTCAAAATAGTTATACTGGCAACGCCTATCCACAAAATAGCTATAGTGGCAACGCCTATCCTCAAAATAGTTACGGTGGCAATGCTTATCCTCAAAATAGTTATGGTAGTAACTCTGGTGGCTACGGTGGCAACACAGGAGGCAACACTGGGTACGGGGGTGGTGGTTACCAAAACAACGGATACGGAGGCGGGGGTGGGGGTGGGGGTTATAGTGCGAACCAAAATAGTGGTTATGGGGGAAATCCAAATAGTGGTTATGGTGGAAGCCAGGCATATGGAGCCAACAACGGTTATGGAAACGGGGGTGGTCAAACTGGTGGATATGGTGGCGGAGGTGGAGGCTATGGTCAGTCAGGATATGGTGGAGGGAACCAAAACAGTGGATATGGGAACCAAGGCTATGGAGGAGGAAATCAATATGGCGGGTATCCTAACACTGGATACGGTGGGAATAATGGTTACGGAAATGCTGGTTATAGCGGTGGTAGTGGACAAGCCAGTGGTTACGTAAACTCTGGTACTGTTGACAGTAGCAACGCAGAAGAGACCAGTGTTTCTGAAAGCAGCGATCCATTTTCGTCCGCTTGGTTCTTCGGTTCATCGGATCCATACTCCGGTTGGATTGCAGCCTACGACGCCGGATATGACGCAGGTTCTAGTTCTGCCGACCCGGCGCACATTGATCATGAGAAAGAAAAGGAAAAGAATGATAAAAATAAGAATGATGATAGCGATAATAGTGATGATAGTAGCAGTGATAGTAGTAATAAATAAAAGGACTCCGTCGCAATTCTTATGGATTATTATTGATTCGAGACCGTGTTACATTTTGATTATTTGTTATAATTATATTGACATATTATACTTGTGTTGGCGAAACATTAAAGCCTAGTCTGTTATATAAAGGGGGAAATATCTAATAAATATTATATATCCAAATGTTTTCCTTTATATTTGTATGTGTGTTTGTGATGGTGTGTAGAGAGAGAGGGGGTGGGGCGGCAGCGGGTGAAGAGAAGATGTGTGAAATGGTACCCACAGCAACCGCCATCACAAGCCGGGCTACTTCAAAGAGAGAGAGGGAGAGAGAGAGAGAGAGAGAGAGAGAGAGAGGCATATGGCTATACGTTTCCCTTGAAAAAACTGTAGTAACAATAATTCCCTTACTTGGCATGTCGGCAATGGCACGCCAGTGTGAACACGTTAGCTCAGTTTTGCGTCCCATCCGAATGAATATACATGTACGTTGTCCTTTGCATGGCCATCTGTCCTGAACCACTGACAAGGGGGTACCAGCCTAAAAATTCGACTGAACTTTCTTTTCCAGCATTACTCACTGATCTACCGCGGTTCCCATTAGTACGAGGAGACACTTGGAAACCTGACAAGAACAGCTGTCTAGTCCTTCGGACGTTACGAAAAACCGAGGCTCCTTGGCAGTTGGAATTAGCTTTAAGAGTAGGCCATAGTGCTGCTGCTTATGCAAATTTTCTCTCATAGCACACTGCCCGGGCAAAATTGCCCTCGTAGCACACTGTATGGCGTATGCTCGTCTTCCTTAGCCCAGTAGGAGCAGTTAAACCTCATTTCATTTCCGTTCAAAATCTTCTAGACTTTTGAATTAATGTATGTATGGTATTATATATTTCAAACAAACTGAATGTGTCAAGGGGTGGACCGTAAGCGTCCACAGCGCCGTACAATAAGAGGCTCAACGGCGATAAGGGGGGAATATTTCCCAAACCTTGCATTAATCTTGTGTAATTGATATCGTTAAAATCAGAATAGGTATTTTAAAACTGTATCTATGAAGTTATTAAATACAACGCGATAGGGGAATAATGCCCTTTAAAAACAATACTTATGCGCTGGATAGGGCACAAGGCTTTTGGACATAAGACAGTAATACTGCAAAGCATGCGAACGATCTGGATGCCAGGCGACTTCTAAATACTGTCAATAATATGCTAGCAACAATATTTATATTAAATATACATTATGGAAGATTGGATAATGAGCTGACAGTTCTCACTTTAATAATGATGTAAAGCGAATAGGCTGCCAATTTCAGTCAAATTCATCCACTCGGAACCGAGATATTAGCGATTGAATTTTTGGGCCTAGTCTCGATCATCAGTACTAAAGTCGGTACCATAAAAAATAGTCTCGATTATCCACTTGTTGCATTTAATCATCAGCAGATCGAATTCAAATTCAGTGAAAATCCGACACATAAGATGGCATCGAGAGTTGATTAAGATCTTTTTATGTTAATAAATGTCTAATAGTTTATATAACATTTCAGGCCTACAGAAAGACGTGTAATAGGCAGATTGAGCTCTTGCATAATATATGTTTAATAGGCATTGGTCTAAAATGATATAGAAGGTCATTAGAAGGTCAATCGTTTACTATAATATTTGATCCCCATCCTCAAAATGATGTTGTACAAACAAAAATATATTAGGTAACAGGGTTTTAATAACCATTTTGCCTATCGATGGCAAATGGACATGAAGTTTGTGTATTTTCTAAAACATCCCATTAAAGGCTTTATGTGCAACCCAATCGAAATTAAAATGTTTCTTTGTATGTAGGTTATGTTTGATGTTTAAGGTCGGCGATATGTATGTTGTTGTCGATAATAAAGAAGCTATTCATGCCAGTGTAATTTATACCCTTTTTTATTGTTCTAAGTAAATGTGGCGGTGGTCGAGTGTGCTTCGGATCATAAGACCTGTTATTGACCCAATACCAAACCCGACGTGACAAAACATAGGATCGCCTGCAGGCTTTCTATGGATCATCCGGTTCCCTCGCAAGAAAACAATAGGACGTTAAACCCCATTTCATTTCATTTCATTTCATTTCCTCGCAAGAGTAAGTGAATTATTGAAATATGGAAATAGGTTAGTATGGAAATAACCTAGTGTGTTTGGTATGGACGTCGGACCTACGTCTCGTTTGGCATCATCCTCACCAGCTACTCAAATGTCCCATACTTTATAACATCTCATATAATCAATGTTTTATACATATAACAGCATATTTAGCACACAGTATTTACTAGAAAGGTGGGGGCATGGATGGCCGAATGGTTAGCACGTGCGCGCTGTATCATACGGTCCGTCATTGAGTCAACTCGCGTGGTTTCAATTCCCCGGTTGTACGTGACAAGAAGCAGGGTCGCCTATCCATTCCCATGGGTTTTCTGCGGGTCCTCCTGTTCCTCCCACTGCTAAAGACCCCTACGCACAAGCGAATTATTGAAAGAAAATTAAGCCATGTGTTAGTCCCGAAATGATCTAGTTTGTGTCGAGTGGACGTTAAACCCCATCTCTCTCTCTCATTTACTAGAAATATATTGAGGTATCGGTTGAGTAGAGGTAGTCACTGAAATATCTCGATCAATCATGGTGGGTGCTTCTTTTAAAAGATTTTTAATCACCTTTTCCAAGTTTAAACAATAATTAAACTATAAAGCAGTATGAACATTATTTATTTACATTATGAAGAAAGATATATGGGTTTTATATAGCATATACAATATACATTTCATCTTAAACACATAACTAGCTAAACCATCGTAAAGTTATAAATAAATAAACAGATATTGATATAACAGGTACTACGGACCAGGAGTAGCGCAATTGTCCAAGGCACGGGCATGCCAATTTATGTCAATCGTACCTGAATTCATGTAGCCTAAGCTTTTTTTTTGTATCCGAAGAGCACTGCCCCCAAGAAGAAGAAGAACAAAAAGCAGGATGAATAGAGTTTGGGGCTCATTTGCTGGTCCACAAATTTGTTTATTTGATTATTTAGTATACAAAATTACTGTTAAAAGATCATGGCATAAATACATATCAAAATATACAAACAAAACAACGCCTATTTCGATAACAAAGACTGACAATCCGATTATCGTCTGATTTGCTGAACACCCAAAGCGGGGTGCGGCGGCTCGTGACCCTCAATGATTTTCAATGCATTAAAATCGTTCAAAATACCCCCCCCCCCCCCACACACACACACCTCGCTGTCTGGGTTGCGGACTTGCGACCTACAGTTTGCATATACCTGGACAAGATTGCATTCAGATATGTTTCCTTCCACAGAGCTATCTACGTTTGGTATTTAGAGCACCTTACATTCTAGGAATATATATATATATATATTTGACCTGACAATATATTGACTACCATACTCTATCAGTCGGCCCAATCTGATTAAAACACAGATCTGGAAGGCTTGTTATATAACCCGTGTTCTGGACGATGAGAAAGATTAGCCAATGAAACAGTCGGTTACGGCGAGTTTTTGGCGAGAGGTGCATGGAACCGTGGGTAACCCACTAGAAACATCAACGCCGATTGGTTAATCAACAGTCTGACGTCAAAGGGTCAAAAGCCACTAGTATGACTTCTGACGCGACCTTCCGCTATAACCGGTTAGGTCTCCATGTAGTGTAGGCCATGGAAAGTATAAAAAAACGAAAGGAATTATAGATCAGGGCCCTGTTTCACAAAAACTTAAATCCCCTTAAAATCGTCTTAAACTAAAATTTCATCCTAACTTAAGATCGGTGCGTTTCACAAAACGATTTTAGGCATTTTAGATAAAATCCACTAAAATAATATTGTAAGTTAAAATTGTATCTCAACTTAAAATAGTGGCGTTTCACAAAACTATATTAGGGACAATTTTAACTAAAATCAATTTTAACTTAGAACAGCCGTCAACCTCTCCTAACTTAAAATCACGACATTGATTAGAGCTACGTTGTGAGGTCTATTGCGACATATAGATATATTTGGAATAATGATAATATTGCCAATGGCCCGGGTTATATAATTTAAACATACTATAATTCACAAAAATAATTTTCATTCAATTTCTTTTCATTGCATGGGAAATATAGCTGCGGTCCGCCCGTTTGTCTGATTGTAAGGCAATATAAGCAATTAGATGACGCCCCAAATTAAAACCCCAAGAAAAAAAAAACCCTCAAAACCCCAGTTAACAAAACTCTTTGTTACTATTTTATATATTACCATATGATTCAAGTATAAATTATACTATTTTCAAATAATTAAAAGGCAAAAAAAAAAACCAACCTAAAAACAAAATCTAAACCCATTTCATATCTAATGTCTATATATATATATATATATAGAGAGAGAGAGAGAGAGAGAGAGAGAGAGAGAGAGGTGGGGGGGGTAACGTCCACTAGACACAAACTAGGTCATTTCAGGACTAACACATGGTTCAATTTTATTTGAATAATTCGCTTGGGCGTATATAAGGGTCTTTAGTAGTGGGAGGAAACCGGAGAAAACTCACGTGGTTGGACGGGCGACCCTAGTCCCTGTCACGTACAAGCGGGAAATCGAAACCCCGTCAGTCCTATAATACTAGATACGCCATATGCAAAGTATTTATGGTTTTGGGGTTATGATGATTTATATAGGAGCCAAGGGTATTTTATATTGGGAAAAAATCATTTTAATTTCGTAAGATAGATAGGCATTATCCAATAAGGAGTGTGGCACTTTGGCATTTTCAAATTATTATTGAAAGGGTCCATGGGACTGACATTTCAAATCTAGGCATCGGTACATTGGTTATTTCGTGTATTAGTTTAAAAGTTATTAAATACTTTTGAAATTCGACAATACCTTAGTCTAGATTAAGCGTTTGAGTCAGAAATATCACATGTTTATGGCAATTTCTCAATAGTTTCTGTTATTCAAAATACCATAAAACTACGAAATTCAAGCGATTTAGTTTATCGATACGCATTATTTCCATTGAAACTGCGAGTAAATCAAATGCCAAGGTCACGAAAGCGACATGCAAGTTCAAGGCCAACCAACTGATACATTTCAAAACGGATAACACGCAATAAACTTATTTATTTCTTCTCTCTACGACTGCCTGACCGTGTGCAGACATTGTTACAACGTATGAAACTCCCCTCATTGGTATTGTAGCGGTTAGTTCAACCTGGCAATAATTTTCAGTTCCGAAGCGTGTATGCTTACACCCTAAGTGCCCTCGCCGGAATTGTGCACTGCGCGAGCGCAAGCAATTTTAACTAAAATCTATTAAAATTGCATTTTAAGTTACAATCGATCTTCGTGAAACGCATAAAATTTAAAATTTCAGTTTGATTTTAGTTAAAATCAATTTAAGTGATTTTAGTTTAAGTTTTTGTGAAACAGGGTCCTGTATTTTAATCAAATTGTCAGTCGATCTCAAATAATTTCTTGGTTGTTATTTTGGAAAATAGAACACGTGTCAAAGGCTCTACTTATTCTAACACCGTGGTTGTGTAGGTGTATCTAAACCTATATGATCATGTCACCCGTTGTGTTCCTCTTAAAGAAAACCTACGCAGTTGCAAATAAAACGACTTCATAATAAAGTTGATCTAAAGATTAAAATAAAGTTAGTCTAAGTACTTCATAATAAAGTGAGTCTTAAGATTAAAATAAAGCAGGTCTAAAGACTTCATAATAAAGCTGGTCTTAAGATTAAAATAAAGCTGGTCTAAAGACTTCATAATAAAGCTGGTCTTAAGATTAAAATAAAGCTGGTCTAAAGACTCCATAATAAAGCAGCTGGTCTAAAGATTTCATAATAAAGCAGCTGGTCTAAAGATTTCATTAAAAAAGCTGGTCTTAAGACTCCATAATAAAGCAGCTGGTCTAAAGACTTCATAATAAAGCAGCTGGTCTAAAGACTTCATAATAAAGCCGGTATAAAGACTTCATAAAAACGCTAGTATAACGATTGAAATAAAACTGTTCTAAAGACTATATAATAAAGTTGAGCAATAATAGCGAGTTTTAAATAATTAAATCATTGTGTTCCAAGGAATCAATATGTACAATCAAACATTTAAATCTAAATTTAACGTAATTATAACATTACTAAAATATTTAATATTTTAACCAAAGGAAAACATTACAGCTCTTCACTCTCTGCTAACCATGACTTTTAATTAGAAGCTACTATCTTCGATAGAGTTTTTTATTCTTCTCATATATTGTGGAGGTTCTCCTGATTAGCCGATATTTAAGAGCTAACAGCACATGTTAACGATTCATTTTATATATTCATCAGGTCCTCAGGGTGTGAACTAAAACACTTAAGCATGTATATGCAAACGAAACACATCAAAAAGTCAAAGAAATTATATCTATGAATATTTCTTGTGTCACCATCTCAAACTAAGAGTATTATCAGATATCGAGGTTAGGCTCGAACAAAATCAATAGACGCAGTAAGAGTGGTGGTTTTATTGTATATTATGGTGGACCACCCAAGCCTGGTCCACGTTCTAACGGTGCACCAGCTCCATGACCAAGACGAAGCGGGGAATCACGTCCTGGTCCTCGGTCTAAATGAGCACCGTGTCCATGTCGACGTTCCAGTGGAGCACCGTCTCCTGGACCAAGGTCTAATGGAGCACCGTATTCTGGGCCAAGGTCTAATGGCGCACCGTATCCTGGACCAAGGTCTAATGGTGCACCGTATCCTGGACCGAGGTCAAGCGGAGCTCCATATCCTGGGCCAGGGTCTAATGGAGGACCGTATCCTGGGCCAAGGTCAAGTGGCGCACCGTATCCTGGGCCGGGATCTAATGGGGCACCATATCCTGGGCCGAGGTCTAAGGGGGCGCCGTATCCCGGGCCAAGATCGAAACCCGGACCAAGATTAAAACCTGGACCAAGATCGAAACCCGGACCAAGATCGAAACCCGGACCAAGATCGTAACCCGGACCAAGATCATGTGGGTGGCCGTATTCGGGACCTAGATCTAGTGCTGCACCGAAATCCATTGGACCAGGATCCATTAGTCTAGCCAAGCCGTAGTATCCATAATTAGGGTAATTCATCTGGTTTGAAAAGTATCTTTGATTACTTTGCTGCTGGAAGGTATTGCCCTGACTAGCCGGCTGGTTGAAATTATACCCCTGGTTAGCCTGTTGGTTGAAGTCGTATCCCTGGGTAGTTTGTTGTTGGTAGTTGTAGCCTTGCATAGAAGGTTGCGAGGAACGATATCCTTGGTTTGCTTGCTGTTGGACGTTATATCCTTGAACAGTAGGTTGGTTGTAGCCGAATCTTGGAGTGCTTTGCTGTTGATTGTTGTATGTTTGACTTGCAGGTTGATTGACGCCGTATCCTTGGTACGTTCCCTGTGTAGCAGGTTGGTTGAAGCCATATCCTCTATTGGTTTGCTGCGTAAATGGCTGGTTGAAGACATATCCTAGATCAACTGGTTGGTTGTAACCTTGATTGACTTGTTGGTTGAAGGTGGACCCGTCGTTAGTTGGTTGCTGAAAACCGTAATCAAAGACAGACGGATCGTATATACCATCCGTCGGTTGTCCAAACATGGGATTGTAGATCGGCGGGGGCGATTGGTTATATGTAGGCTCGGTTGAAAACATGAGTTTAATTATCTGGTAAAACATTTTGTAAAAATCTCCAAGATTATAGTCATTGTTGGAATATATTGCATCTCCGTAGTCCTGATACATTGGATATTCGCCATAATAGTCATAAATTCCTCCATCAGCAGCACCATCATAACCATACCCATAAAGGTCATATCCGTTAAGTGGATACAAATAATATCCTATAGGTACATACCCGAAACCAAAATCTCCATATACCAAATAACCAGCAGCCGCAACATCTGAGCTGGCAAGATTTTGATAGTTGTTATCAACTAAGGCGTAAGTATAATATGCCTGTCGTTTATTACGAACGGGTTTATTATTGTCATCTTCTCCTCCATCCAATCTACCTCCGAAGTATTGTAGTTCATGTTTCTGGTTTTCGTCATATACCTGTCTTTTTCGGCGGACTAATAGGTTCCTCGTGTCTCTTTTACCTCGACCATAATAATTCCCTTGTTGTTCTTGATCCTGTTGCTGTTGTTCTTGTTCTTTTTGGTAATTTTGTTGTTGCTGTTCTTGATCTTGTTGCTGCTGTTCTTGTTCTTTTTGGTAATTCTGTTGTTGCTGTTCTTGTTCTTTTTGGTAATTTTGTTGTTGTTGTTCTTGCTCATTTTGTTGATCTTGGTCTTGTTGGCCCCCATCCTGCTGATCATCCTGCTGTCGCTTTTGACGAATGAGAATTCTCTGGACGTCTAGTCTGTCGCGACCATACATATTTACCTGTTGGTTTCTTATCCCTCTTCTACCTCGACCATTATAATTCCTCTGTTGTTCTTGTTCTTGTTGCTGCTGTTCTTGTTCCTTTTGGTAGTTTTGTTGCTGCTGTTCTTGCTCTTGTTGTTGCTGTTCTTGTTCTTTTTGATAATTCTGTTGTTGCTGTTCTTGTTCTTTTTGGTAATTTTGTTGTTGTTGTTCTTGCTCATTTTGTTGATCTTGGTCTTGTTGGCCCCCATCCTGCTGATCATCCTGCTGTCGCTTTTGACGAATGAGAATTCTCTGGACGTCTCTTCTGTCGCGACCATACATATTTACCTGTTGGTTTCTTATCCCTCTTCTACCTCGACCATAATAATTCCTCTGTTGTTCTTGTTCTTGTTGCTGCTGTTCTTGTTCCTTTTGGTAGTTTTGTTGCTGCTGTTCTTGCTCTTGTTGTTGCTGTTCTTGTTCTTTTTGATAATTCTGTTGTTGCTGTTCTTGTTCTTTTTGGTAATTTTGTTGTTGTTGTTCTTGCTCATTTTGTTGATCTTGGTCTTGTTGGCCCCCATCCTGCTGATCATCCTGCTGTCGCTTTTGACGAATGAGAAATCTGCTTATGTATCTTCCGCTCAGACCATACATATTTAGTTTCTGGTTCTGGTCTCGCTGTTGCTGTTCTTGTTCTTTTTGCTGATCTTGTTGTTGTTGCTCTTGTTCTTTTTGCTGGTCTTGTTCCTGCTGCTGTTCCTCTTTTTGATAATCTTGCTGTTGCTGTTCCTGTTCTTTTTGGTAATCTTGTTGTTGTTGTTCTTGTTCTTTTTGGTAATCTTGTTCTTGCTGTTCGTACCTTGCATTATAGTCTTGTTCGTCTTGTTCTTTCTGATAATCCTGCTGCTGCTGTTCTTGTTCTTTTTGATAATCCTGCTGCTGTTGTTCCTGTTCTTTTTGATAATCTTGGTCCTGTTGATCCTGTTCCTTCTGTTGGTCTTGTTGTTGCTGTTCTTGTTCTTTTTGGTAATCTTGTTGTTGCATTTCTTGCTCTTTCTGACTTTGTTGCTGATTTTGGTTGTTGTTGTTGTTATTATTATTTCGATTATTGTTATTATTGTTGCGATTATTGTTATTATTGTTATTATTGTTCTGATTATTTTTATTATTGTTCCGATTATTATTATTATTATTTTTGTTATTATTATTATTGTTTTTGTTATTATTATTATTATTATTATTATTATTGTTTTTGTTGTTATTATTATTATTATTATTATTGTTTTTGTTGTTATTATTATTGTTGTTACCCTGTCGTTTGTGTCGTATGAATTTGTTGGTATGCCTTTTGTAACGACCAACATTAGCATATCCATCTTGCTGTGGTTGCGTTTGGGATTGGTCCCTACTGTTATCACTAAAACTGTGTCTTTTCAAACGTACATATTCTTCAAAACTAAATTCTCCTTCTTTTTGTAAACGGTCCCCCTCTGGGTATTCTCGGTTTCCATCAGATCCACCAAGCTCTCGTTTTTGACGACGACTATCCGACAGTGTGTTGCGGTGGTTTGGTGAAACTTTGAGACACAATGATAAAGATAACCCGGACGCCAGTAACCACAGACATCCCTGAAACATAGACACATAATAAAATATACCAATTACGCGTATTCCCAAATAAATCCGATTCTTAAAGAAGTAAAAAAATTTACAATTGTGGTAAAGAATTAAGTATACGATTCATTTGTCTTAGTATATCCAGACTAGAATCCAGATTTTGCAAGCCCGGTTCCCAATGCTTATGAGTAGCACTAACGAATCTGATAAACAGGGTACTTAAGTGTTGGGACACCGAGGTACCAGTGGCGCGCAAGTTAAAAAAAAAACCTTGACATTAAAGAATTTGCAGAAGAGTAAGACGAATTGACGCTGCCCGGCGCAAATTTCGCCTCATTACATTAAAATGGAAATCTCTAAATGAATGTATAATGTTGGTAACATTTTGATCAAATTCGTCATAAATATTTGTAAAATCAGATAAATTCTGATTTAGAACATTTGATAAAAGGGCAAGTCAAACCTAAAAATAATCATACTATAAAATCTATATATAAATATATAAAAGAACGAAACCTACCTTTACAATGTCCATTTTAGGTGATGCAGGTGACAAAGTCGATGTTATTTAGAATATAGGTCACCGCTAAATCTTATATACTCTCACCGGTGCCAATATTTAATTACACTGTTAAAACCTGCTTGTATAAAATCTTAACTTTCAGGAACTGTTCACGTTTTGTGATTGCGATTCTCTAAACTTAACAAATGTTTAAGATACCCGACATGGTTTATGTCCAAATGGAAACTTCGAAAACTTTTTAAAGGACGTTTCCGAGATATTTAACATCTTGTATTAATTTCATATCATATAAATATACTTTTAAAAATCTGATTGAATTTGGATTCCTACTTTAACCAATTTGTTTTTCACAGTGTAACTATTAAGAAAGGGGGGGGGGGTGTAATTTATTAATGCTTTCATTTCCTCTACACCAGTCTGATTGTTTTTACATCGAGGCACGTTTTCAGTTGATACCCATGCCATGATACCCAACCTTTCAAGTGTATTACATGTTAGAGACAATTGCCAAACTTTATTTTAATTGTAACCCACTGACTCGACGTCTTACAATTTTCAAGGAAGCTATCTCTTGAAAAATAGTTAGAACTTTATGATTACTTCTCGTGAACTTACGCTAACCCCTGGTTCCAAATGATTCACCAAGATGTATAAAAGTTAGGCGTAAATAAAATGACTTCATACTATCGTTCGTGAACAATGTCTCCCATATTGTAGGTTCATTTTTTTTCGGTGAAACCTGTATCATTACAGCGCAGTGTACGCGTACGACTGTTCTGGGGTCCATTCGTGTGATATGATATACGTGTATTAATTACAACGGCTTTGCATATTGTGCGTAGTGTACGCGTGTATTAATTTTATGCGTAGTGCGTTCCCTGTGCACTTGTTATATTATTAGTGAACAAATATTTGTTTTGATAATCTGGTGTCTTGTTATCAACAGTCTATGCATACTCATATTCGGTCGAGGGTAAGATCTCTCTTGCCACCAGCCTGTCTAGCTCGACAAGATGTCAATATTCAGAGGTAACAATTTTCGTTCAGTGGTTACACATCGACGTTTGTTTAGCAGTTCGAAATGTAAAGTAGAAAAACAAAGAATCAATGGATGACTGTTTCAACCTGTCGAGACTGTATCTTTTATTTTGAGAGATGATATTGAAGCTACGAGACAAGAAATCGAATGGGCTTGTGGAGAGAGAGAGGGAGAAAAAAATGGGGTTTAACGTCCACTCGAGACCAACTAGGTCATTTCGGGACTAACATATGGTTCAATTTTATTTCAATAATTCAATTGCGCGTAGGGGTCTTTAGCAGTGGGAGGAAACCTGAGGACCCGGAGAAAACCCACGAGGTTGGACAGGCGACCCTACTCCTTGTCACGTTCAACCGGGGAATTGAAACCACGCCGGTTAAAGGGGCTTGTACTAACCTTATTATCATAAACTGATAAAAGACGGTAGTATAAATAGGATGTTTTCCTACACCATATATGTTGAATTTCAGAGAGTAAAAGAATTAATAAAACATATTGTTTGATTATGAGAAAATCTGTTCATACCTAATACCATTACTTGTTTGAAATTCTAAAATATATATTTATTTGACACTGTTAATTTTCGTGGAAGAGTGTCTAATTAGTCTAGCCTGGAGGTCACGTGTTCGATCCCTGCATTGGGCGAGAAAGTTCCTCGGGATTTTTTGACGTGGTTTCGCCTTGGCAGTGGTAAAGAGTGGAGGGCCTGACAAAGACAGCTGTCTAGTCGTTCGGATGGTACGGAACACAGAAGCCACGTGTATACATTAAATGAAATGGGGTTTAACGTCCTATTGTTCTGCTTCGACTGAGCCAATGAAGACGTGCATACGCCGTACAGTGTGCTATGGGGGACATTGTGCCCGGACGGTAGCGCCACGACCTATTCTTATGTCGAATTCCAACTACAAAGGGATCTTTTACGTGCACGCCAATCTACACTGCACCTCGGTTTGTCGTCCCTTCCAAACGACTATACGTTGTCAGTTACCAGACAAGGGGGAACCACGCAAGAAAATTATGATGAACTTTTTCTGCCAACACCCGGATCGAACACGTGACTTCCAGGTTAGCGAACCAACGCTGGGGCTAAGAGACTATAATTCGAAAATAATCAAATTTAAACACTTATTATTTGCAGCAAAGGAACGTTAGCCCCATTTTATTTCATTAAAGCGTAAACGATACAAATGCAAGTCATCTAAAATAGAAATATATCCATATAAAAGCAATCAATACCTCATTATTATTAAGTGATTCCTGCCTGGGGTGGGTGGCGACTGTTTCGATTTCAAATTTGCGGCAAAATAGCGTCAGTTCTTTAAACAACTCTGGTTGAATTCTTCACGAGATGGGAGCTATATGGGTAAGACACTGGCTCGCTAGCCTGGAGGTCGGGTGTTCGATTCCTGCATTGGCCGAGAAAGCTCATCGGGATTTTTCGACTTTTCGACGTGGTTTCAGAATGGAGGGTCTGTTTTCGGCTGGGACGAAAAACCGAGGCCCCGTGTATACATTGGCATGCACGTAAAAGATCCCTAGGCATTTGGAATTTTATATAAGAGTAGGCCATACTGCCGCTGCCTGGGCAAACCGTGACTCGTAGCACACTGTATGACGTATGCCCGTCTTCATTAGCCCAGTCGGAACAGAACAATAGGACGTTAAACCTCATTTCATTTCATTTCTTCGCCAGCTGTTTTAATGTAAATATATTTTACTCACTCCACAGAGCTACGTGACAACGAAAAAATATAAAAATATAAATTATGACTATAATTATCTCCCATATAATCGCTATAATAAATATCACGAACTCTTTTATTCATAACTTGATCTGAATAATTAAACAATTAACACAGGTCGTAAAGCCACGTGCCCTCTATTCTTAGGTTTTGAATGTAACAGCGTGCGCCAGCTATTATTTAATTATTAAATATGACGTAATTGACACGCTTTTCATTATTATAAAACGATTTTTTAAATTTGAAATCTTTAAAAAATACTCTTAAGTTTTAAAATGGAAAACTATATTTTTAAATGCTAATTTAACTAAAATTGCGGGAGTTCTTCATAATCCCAACGATCAGCATGTTTAAAAATTAACATGCTTAAAAAAGTTGAATTCAACAAATTTATAATTGTCGATAGAACGTGAACTTTTAATAATTTATTAAACTTAATAGCGTCACCAACACAAATTAGATAAAATGCGGTTTCCTCCAACCGGTTTTATTATAGCAAGTTTATTTAGTTATAAGCATTATGAACGTATAACAAACGTGTTCTGTCTTAAACTGGTAGATATTTATTTTCAAAACTTGGTGGTTATGATTTTTTTTAATATAAACCCTCTGTATATATAAATGGTGTATTTGCCTCATGTGTTCATAAAACGGGTTTCGGGCTCCTAGTTTGACAGCAGAGAAAATTTAGAGATATCTAGAAATCAGTTGATAAACCGTAATTATGAGTACTAGATTTGTAAGTAGATTATGTTATCTTCAGTTTTGGACTAAAATCTATGTGGCATTCATGAATTGTGATTTATGAAAGTATATAACCCTATACAATCTGATTCAAATACAGATCTATATATTTCGTTTCATTTTTTTTATACTTTCGATGGCCTATACTACAGATCCTATTTCGTTTCGTTTTTTCATAGTTCAAAATTTCGTTTTATATGTCTATACTACACTAGGATCTGGAAGAGGTGTTATACAACCCGTGTTCTGGCTGATGTGAGGGATAAGCCAATCAAACGGTCTGTTACGCCGGGTTTTTGGCGAGAGGTGCATAGAACTGTGGGTAACCCACTAGAAACATCAACGCTGATTGGTTAATCAAATATCTGACGTCATTGGTCAAAAGCTGTTCGCATGACCTCTGAAGCGACCTCCCACTACAATCGATCAGATGTTCATGTAGTATAGGCCATGGACAGTATAGAAAAAAACGAAACGAAAGATAGATCTGTATTGTAAAAATTAAGAATTAAGTGAAATAACAAGAAAAGTGAGGAAGGGTGCCCTTGGGATAGACCATGACATATACCACAAACATAAATAATGGTCTATACATATACAGAAATTGGTTGTACGGGGTAAAGGTGAAATAATCAAGCTGATAAAATGACTAGTATGAATACCTGGTGTTTCATTGCCATCTAATTCTAAATAAAAGCTTTATGGACTGATAACGGTGAGTGTACCCTCGTTGTAGTTAATAAACCTAGTGAATGATATCCATAAAGCTGACTTATTTTATATTCTTGTTTTTTTTTCCAGATTTTACTATCTGTGGTTTTCAGTTCTGTGATTTTAATCGAAGGAATCAGAGTACAATATAATGAACGCAACCATGATCTTGAGGAGGCTGGAGTTCAAACTCGCAACAAGAGACAAGCTAATTGGTGGAATGCCCCGGGAGCGATGGGGGCTGCAATTGACCCCAATGCCCCGGGAGCGATGGGGGCTGTGTTTGACCCCAATGCCCCGGGAGCGATGGGGGCTGTGTTTGATCCTAATGCTCCGGGGGCGATGGGGGCCGCATTTGATCCCAATGCCCTAGGAGCGATGGGGGCTGTGTTTGATCCCAATGCTCCAGGAGCGATGGGGGCTGTGTTTGATCCTAATGCCCCAGGAGCGATGGGGGCTGTGTTTGATCCCAATGCTCCAGGAGCGATGGGGGCTGTGTTTGATCCTAATGCCCCGGGAGCGATGGGGGCTGTGTTTGATCCTAATGCTCCAGGAGCGATGGGGGCTGTGTTTGATCCTAATGCCCCGGGAGCGATGGGGGCTGTGTTTGATCCTAATGCTCCGGGGGCCATTGGAGCAGCTTTCGATCCAAATGCTCCAGGTGCAATGCAGTTCGCCTTTGATCCGAATGCTCCGGGGGCCATGGGGGCGGTATTTGATCCTAATGCACCAGGAGCCATGGGGGCCGCGTTTGATCCTAATGCTCCAGGTGCTATGCAGTTTGCATTTGATCCTAACGCTCCTGGGGCTATGCCAGCGGCGTTTGACCCTAACGCTCTCTGGGCCATGCAGTTATATAACCCGACATTAGTGAATAATCCAGCAGCTATGAATGCGCAACCTGTACAGAACGCCCAGTTCGCCGCTTTGAACAATCCAGCTGCTATGAATGCGCAACCTGTACAGAACGCCCAGTTCGCCGCTTTGAATAATCCAGCTGCTCAGATGAATGCTCAAGTTGCCGCGTTGAATAATCCAGCTGCTCAGATGAACGCCCAAGTTGCCGCGTTGAATAATCCAGCTGCTCAGATGAACGCCCAAGTTGCCGCGTTGAATAATCCAGCTGCTCAGATGAACGCCCAGGTTGCCGCGTTGAATAACCCAGCTGCTCAGATGAACGCCCAAGTTGCCGCGTTGAATAACCCAGCTGCTCAGATGAACGCCCAAGTTGCCGCGTTGAATAACCCAGCTGCTCAGATGAACGCTCAAGTTGCCGCGTTGAATAACCCAGCTGCTCAACAGAACGCCCAAGTTGCCGCGTTGAATAACCCAGCTGCTCAACAGAACGCCCAAGTCGCCGCGGCAAATAAAAAAGGTGGCAGAAAAAATAATAGAACAATTTAATGAATTATTGAGGTTCTGTTCTATCAATTATTTTTTTGTTTTAATGGTGTTTGTGTATTTTTACATCCTAAAAAATAAATGAATTTTTACAAAATGTTTTATTTTCATTTTTTATATGTTTATTGTGATGTTTTTTCGAGTTTTAAATACATTGATCTGTTTAGTGTAGTGTTTAATGGTCGACAGTGAGATTTGGGGTGGTTGGGGCAAATAAAGGGAGGCAAATTGAACAGCCAGACATCGGTATCGCATTTGTAGTACATTTCCCGCGATTTAATTCTCTATTTTGAAAACAATCAAATGATATCGCTATTTTGCATCATTATGTTGTAATATTATGTGGTGGAATTTGGGTGGTATCGGGGTGGTATTGGGTAGATCGTCTTAGTATTGCGATACTATAACACTATTGTAATTGCTTAAGTAATGAAATGAAATGGGGTTTAACGTCCTATTGTTCTGCTCCTGACTGGGCTAATGAAGACGGGTATGCGCCATACAGAGTGCTACGAGGGAAATTGTGCCCGGACAGCGGCACTACGGTCTACTCTTACATGGAATTCCAACTGGCAAGGGAACTTTATGTACACGCTAATGTGTACACGAGACCTCGCTTTTTCGTCCCATACGAACGGCTAGACATCTGTCCTTGTCAGGCCCTCCGTCCTGCACCACCCACAAGATGAACTTTCCCAGCCAATGTAGGTACGAACACTCGACCTCCTGGCTAGTGAGCCAGCGTCTCACCCACTTGGCCACCGTGGCCCATAATTGCTTAAGATAATTGCCTTATTAAGAATCGCTTATTTAGGAAATTCTATGACTACTGTCTCATTACGCTTTGGGTCAATCTGATTAAAACACAGATCCTATTTCGTTTCGTTTTTTATAGTTCAAAATTTCGTTTTACTTGTCTTTACTACACTAGGATCTGGAAGAGTTGTTTTATGAATAGTGTGAGGTATTAATCAATGAAACGATCTGTTGTGGCGAGCTTTAGGCGTGTTTTGCACGGAACTGTGGGTAATCCACTAGTAACGTCAATGCTGATTGGTTAATCAACTGTCTGACGTCATAGGTCAAAAAGCCGATCGTATGACCTCTGACGTGACCTATCGCAACAACCGGTCAGATCTTCATGTAGTGAGGCCATCGAAAGTATCAAAAACAAAACGAAATATAGATCTGTATTTTAATCAGATTGGCTTTGGGTAAGTTTTTGGATGGATTTGCCGCTCTACAAATGGTCCAGAGAATTAGGGGTTGGGGGGGGGGTCAAAATAACATTTTGGAATAATTAGATGTCCTTAAACCAAAATGGCTGAGTGAAGTGAATTGTACTCCATTTTTATTTCTAAGAATTGGCTGGGAAGGAGAAACTCATTCGTGACTAACGATAAGCACCAAAAGCTATGATGACATCTGGATTAGCAGATATTTTACGTCACTGGACGGTGCATCATAATGATGTGTGTCATAATAGGCTAAGTGCTAAAAGAAATCCCAATGTCAACACACTGAAGAATAAACTTTTATTAATAACCATTTTCGTGAAATGTAGTAAAATGCCGAGTAGAATTAAATCTTTTTATATAGTATACAAAATAGGGGTCAAACATTATTAACAGAGGTGTATTAATTATAAGGTTCGAGCATCGTATTCTATACAACGAAGAAAACCATAATACGGCTTACATTGATGCAATTCAAAATATGCGACTAGTCCTGATGACGGTCGTCTGCTAAATGACGTTACTTAGAGGTGGATATCTGCCAAATGACGTAATAAGTTAGAACGCCAATAACGGTAACAAAGGGGCGATATTTCAAACAGAATTAATAAAACCCCAAAAAGGTTAAAATCAATAATATAGGAACAAAAATAAATCGTCGTTATAAAATTATATATAATTACACAAAAAAATGATCAGCTATATAAAATTATTTGTAAGAAATATAAATCTTGGTATTGCGAGCGTGCTCTTTTTGCATTATCTTGACGTATATTAGGACTTCTTATACTGGGGTTGCGTATCTCTAATACGTCGAAGCACAGCGTTCTCGCAATATTTATTATTCAAGGAGCTTTAATCTTAAGAAACATAAGTACTAATAAATATATATTGAAATCCCAATTAAAACATCAATTACCAATTATCTATTAATGAATAATTGAATATATAATATTAGCATATATTATGTGAGCAAGTATATTTATAAACTATTTTACATTATAGTATCTATTATATATATATTTGTGACTGTCGTTTGTCTGTCTGTCTTTCTGTCTGTCTGTCTGTCTGTTCGGGATTGGCGGTTACACTAGGTCTGCCCCGGGTCTGAAATTTGGGGTATAGGGGTAGCTCGGACCGGGGAGTAACATAGGCCAGGTGGCGTTAGTCCACCACTTCCGGTTTCGGAGTTATGACCCCCGAGCGAAGCCGGTCTGTTCGGGGTTGGCGGCTACACTGGGTCTGCCTCGAGTCTGAAATTTGGGGTATAGGGGTAGCTCGGACCGGGGAGTAACATAGGCAAGGTGGCGTTAGTCTACCACTTCAGGTTTCGGAGTTATGACCCCCGAGCGAAGCCGAGTATCCTGCTAGTTATACATAAAAGCAGCATACATTAATCAATAATTGAATATAATAAAGTATTATCATACTATGTGAATAACTGTAGTAAACTATTTCACATACTAATATTAGGCATAAAATAAACATATATACTAAATGAATTATTAAGCGACACAATTATAAACTAACTCACCTATAAGAAACATAAGTACTAATTATTTGACGTCGAACTGGGTTTATTAACGAATTAACATATTTGTCCGTATTTCGTCTCTTATATTTATACCCAGTCACTATCACCAACTTAATATCTTAATAATAATTAAACTAGAAATATTTGAACATATACATAATAAGAGTTAAACATATAATACAAAATATGATATAAATTAACATATTTATATTACTGAGACCTAACTCAAATTTCTTTTATCAACTGATGGTGAAAAAAGTGGACAAAGGTTAGATTTACAACTTTTAAACTTTACAATATAAATACATTTAGTTAGTGATGTTGGATAGATTAGATTTGCAATATTCAAACTTTACAATATAAATAATTGTAGTTAGTGAAGTAGGGTTGATTAGATTTACAATATTGAAACTTTACCTGTAGTTAGTGAAGTGGAATATGTTCGATTAACAATATTTAAATTTTACAATATAAATACCTGTAGTTATTGAAGTGAAGTAGATTAGATTTACAGTGTTTAAACTTTAAGGCCCAGTGCTACATGGGTTTTTTTTTTGGTTTTTTTGTTTTTTTTGTTTTTTTAATGTTTGTGCTTTTCGAGTGCCAGATTCCCAAACATTTACGCTTGAACGTTCACCCATCATGAAATTGGATGTTTAAATTCCTGAAAATATACAGAATACATTATTTAGTAAATAATTTAATTATTATACTGTGTTACTAAAATATTCCAAGATTTAAGATGTCTGATAGTAGTGTTATATAAACAGTGCTTGAAATGTACTTAATGGGAGGATATTTGAATATATACAATGCATGGATGGGTTGTTAAATATATATACCGTCGATATTTGCATAAAACAATGTAGGATAAAAAAAATTGTATGGGCATACTAAGGTGTAAATCGATGATATTGTATCAAGTGACTATTTTTACTTTTAGGCGTCTTAGTCCTGGATCTGACTATGGTTCTGTAGGAAAGTTTGAGTAGGGAGAATTTTTTTGAAGAAATGTTTAGTGAGAGAGAGAGAGAGAGAAATGGGGTTTAACGTCCACTCGACACAAATTAGGTCATTTTGGGACTAACATATGGTTTAATTTTATTTCAATAATTCGCTTGCGCATAGGGGTCTTTAGCAGTGGGATGAAACCGGAGGACCCGGAGAAAACCCACGAGGTTGGAGAAATGTTTAGTAGGGGGTTTATCAGTATTTTGGCCTTGGGTGGACACTCACCGCGTGGTAGCTTATTCTCTATGACGTCATCTGTAATCAACCAATATGACACACAAAAAACCCCAGATAAAATATGATAATAACTAAAGAAGTACAAAGTTCACTCACCTTTTTCTATTTTTATAACTGGTATCATATACAACTACATATTGTGAAGGTCATCTTATACTGGTAAGTCTATATACATCAAGTGAAGGTCAACTTATACAGGTAAGTCTATTTTCATCAAGTGAAGGTCATCTTATACAGGTGAGTCTGTTTACATCAAGTGAAGGTCATCTTATACAGGTGAGTCTGTTTACATCAGGTGAAGGTCAATTTATACAGGTGAGTCTATTTACATCAGGTAAAGGCCATCCTATACAGGTGAGTCTATTTACACCAGGCGAGGGTCATCTAATACAGGTGGGTCTATTTCCATCATATACAGGTGGTTCTATTTCTATTAGATGAAAGTCACCTTATACAGGTAAGTCTATTTACACCAGGCGAAGGTCATCTTATATACAGGTATATCTACCTGTATTATGTGAAGGTCATCTTATACAAGTGAGTCTATTTACATTATTTGAATGTCATCTTTTTGTGGTATTGTCGTCCAAAATTACAGGCGTTAGATATCTGTTTGTGTAATGGAAACTGTAGTCTGGATTGTCAGGTGAAGATCTTCTTATTGTAGTGTTTGTAGACTAGAGCTACAGGCGTTAGTCTATATCAGTAATGTTAATATCTGCCTATATCAGTATTGTAGTCTATATCAGTAATGGCAATTGCAGCCTGGACTGTAAACTTGTTACTTGTTACAAATCTACGAGGACAATCATCCCAGTCTATAAACTGAGGCCAGCCAATAGTTTCAGGTTTAAATGTGTATTCTAATTCTTTTTCTACAGATTGAATCTGATCTGTCGGGTGAACCAGTTTTAGTTTATATTTAGTTGAACATGTTTTAACTGTTTTATTATCAACCCCTAGATATAGATGTAGGTACAAACCTAAAGATGTTTTATCTCTACGATGTCTAACACCTATACGCCATGGTAGATATTGTATAGTATGACTAGAACCAACATAGCTTTTATTGGTTGGTAC